ATTATTACAGTGGACCAATCCCAGCATGATGGCCAACACCAAAGTGAATGTATTTCTTCCAAAGTTTAGTGTGGAAGGTAACTATGACCTGAAGCCACTTTTRGAAAGCCTGGGAATGACAAATATCTTCAATGAAAGTGCATCAGATTTCTCTGAGATGTGTGAGACAAAAGGTGTGGTTGTGTCAAAGGTCATCCATAAAGTCTCCTTGGAAGTAAATGAACAAGGTGGCGACTCCMGAGAAGTACCAGGATATCGGATTCTGCAACACAAAGATGAATTTAAAGCTGATCATCCATTTATCTTTTTGTTTAGACACAACAAAACTCGCAATGTGATTCTCTCGGGCCGATTCTGTTCTCCTTAAGCGGRGCATGTTCATTACAAAATAGCACAATTACATTTGTGGTGGTGCACACTCTGTAAAGCTTTTCTTCCTGGCTGTCACCTGTAAAAGGAAATCTAAAAGGTTCATATATTGGCTGAGTAATACAATGTACTGTACATATGCAGCAGAACTAGTTTATCTTCTCGTGTTTCATCCCCTGTAGCGGAATAATTTCCACTGTGAAGAGCGCACCATATTTTATTGAGAAGTATCCCAGCTTCAGCAACAAGAACATTTTGTTCCTCTGTGACACATTTTTTTTTTCCCAAAATGAAGTGAACTGAGCCTGATTTAAGATAGACCAGGAGCTGGAAAGGGCTCTGGGAGGAAGAGCTGCATTCCTGCTCTCTAGTGAAACCTCTCTGCCTCGTGACTCACACTCTGGATTCCTAATGCCTAAAAGAGGAAATGTGGACCTGTGGTGTGACAGCTCTCCCCCTGTTCCTGGCTACACTCTGGTGCTCCAGGATGCCCTACCAGACTCTGCCAACCCCCAGTGAAGCAGTGTCTGGGTTCTGCAGTGTAGCTACAACAGTTCAGGCTGGCATCAGACTTTGCATCTGTGAAAACAGCAGCCACACTGAGACCTCCAGAGACCAGAGGCAAAAATCATGGGGACAAAATGTGTCCCCAGAAGACTTCAGTATGAGCCATATCAGTTCTCACTCTGGGAAAGCTGGACTCTGCTGTGTGAGCTTTTTTGACTCATTCCCTCTGGACATGGAAGATGGACAAGTTCACTGCAGCTATGAGGAACCCTGTTTTATATATCCTAAGGAAAAGAACATTATGTAATTCAAGGATAGAACACAGTTGGATTAGTATTGGAAGTGCCACGCTTTCATGCACAGATTATCTGCAATTTCTATTTCTGGATTTAGCATTAAGGAAACTCCTTACAGTTACTTAATGTCTGAAGCATGCGAAAGAAATAAGGACTTCAACTTGAGTGAAATTAACATTRTAATTACTAGTCTTCAAATTCCACATGAGATTATGGTAATCAGATTTCATTTCTATCTAAAGACTGCCTGCTGCATATGTTCTGTACTCGTTTACCTAATTACTGTTCAGAATAAAGCACTATAAAACCTGTGTCAAATGTACAATACCTCTAGTGTCAATCTGTGACACTGACTAGTGTGTGTCATTCAGACTGGTTCACTGACCAGYGACCAGTGCCAGTGTTCACTCCTGGCTTCCAGTACATTATAGGAATGGAAATGAACATATTCACTTAGGCCACAAAGTCAAAATAAAAAAAAAAAAAGCCAACTAAGTGAATGTCTGGATTGCCCTTCTGAGCCACATGATGGTAGTTCCCAGTAAGGACTATGTTACTAGCTGGTCAGGATATACACAAAATTTAATTATGTRTCCTCAAAAGATGGAAGCTTGTTACTTGAGAAATCCTCTTGGTGCCACAGGTCTGAAAGAAACTGGAAAGGGATCTCTAAATGAGAACACAAAWCAACCCCTGATATGCACACTTAGGCATCAGAGCACTGATTATTGGGGATTTAGAGATCGGAGTTCTGSTTTGATTCTTGAACTTAACAACCCATGAAAAGCCTTTAGTCACAATGATTCAGMAGTTCCCTCAGCACATCTTTAGTGGCCTCTAATGCATTTTAATGCCAGAGGGATAACTGGGGTCTTTKGTCCATATCTTTGAGGGTATGAGGAGACTAAATTGCACCAAAAACCATGGGAGGTGAGACCCTGCAGACCTCTGGGGGTCTTTGCTGACGTGTRTCAGATGTTCTGATACAGGGATAGTAGCCAGAAGAATGAAACACGATTACTGTGAGCCCTTCCTGTCTGAGGAGGACTTGCTTGCAAAGATCTTTGCTGGCTCAACTTCAGTGACACCTGAATGACTGGGAATGGTTGATAGACCCCATCATTGTCTGGTCTGCTCTGGATACTGGGGTCAGATGTATCCAGGGCTGCTGCCTCTGTGGCTTCTCCTGGTTCTCCTGGAGGAGGTGGAACAGGRCCTTGTACTTGGGGTGGTGTCTAAGCAGCTGTGCAGGTAATCCATGCAGAGGGAAGATGGACTGATTGCCTCCAGTCTGTGCCGTCTGTGTTTGGGCACTGACTCTTTGTCAGGTAGTCCCAGTTGTCCTTTGGGCCATATTATGCTTACTGGTCTGCTAGACTGATAAAAACTTCTGGCAGATTGCCCCATCCCTCTTTTTCTTCCGGGATGAGATTTCCTAAAGGAGAAAATTTCAGACATCACTTTCTCAACTTTTTTGGGTTCTGAAAACATTCCAGTTCAGGAGCCAGTCTTCCTTTAATGGAGGCTGTAGTCTGTTTAAATGCTGATCAGGGCATTTGGCATATCCCCACAAATTTATGAAATTATTCTTCTCCTTGTGATAGCTTGGCCAGGAAGGGTTATCCCATGAAAGCAAAAAGAAACGCTGCTTCAGGGTGGGGCCCATCTTTCTCCACCTCCTGACTAATTCCAAGCCTGTGCAAGGCAAGCAGATGTTAGAGATACAAASCTGTCCTGGCCCACATAAGGCAAAMCCACTTATTGGTTATTAATGATCAGGGTTGCTTGCCATGAARATCTCAGGTTCACTTTTCACTTCTGTCTCTTCGCTCTGCCAGTCCCASTGTGAATCCTTTCCATCTTGCAGCATGTGAGGGAGAAGGATCCATGMGGCTCCTGCTGGTGTGAGAAATCATGTTACAGTCTACTGTTTCCATTCCACCCGTGCTGGCCTCTGAGCCTTGGGCAAGAAATAGCATGGGTGGACATGGGAAAACGTGTGTGGGAGTCGGTGTGTAGGAACTCTTACGTGCTGGAAAGTGTTGGTTACACTGGAGAGAGTGAGCACAGCGGAGGACTTGCTCAGATTGACAGGGTGCCCCACCTCCCTTTCATCAGGGCATTACTATCCAGTGACGGATGATGCCCCCGATGGCAAACAGTGAGCTGTGGCTGGCGTTGGCAGGCAGTTGCAAACTGCAGTGTTGTGTTCCTGCTCACCTCATCATCTGCTCATCTGCACAGTCATTGCCTGCTCCTTAATCCCAGCGTTTGGTTGAGGAGAAGGGACACATCTTAAAGTTCTGTGGTAGCAAAAGTTGTCTGYGGGAAGTTCTGAAACTTGAAAAATGCAACTTAGGGCAAATTGGCCCCACTGGAAAAGCAGTACATTTTTTCTGAATATACTGTCCTAAGGGCCTAGAAAAGAGAATTTGCACATACATTGACATTTCCTGAGGCAAAGCAGTTAAGCTGATGTCAAGGAAGTTCTGAGGGACTATATGACAGAGCAAGCAAAATAAATTAGTGGAGGAATGATGTCAGTGAGGAGGGAGGGAGAAAACACAGAGACTGGAAGAAGGAAAGTTTTGCAAGATACTCAAAAATACTTAGGCTGTCACTGAAAAGAAGCTTGGAGTAGAAAAGCATCAGAAGATACATGGCAACATTCATAAAGAAATAAATTTAAAAAAAAAGAGAAAGAACTGAGGAGGAAGACTAAGGAGCACTGCAGAAACCTGCAGGAAGAAAAAACAGAAACAAGGAAGTGAATGGCAAATGGAAGCAAAAAAGCAAAGAAAAAACCAAGGTAATGCGAATGGTCATTTTATCCTTGTATCTTGCATTGCTTATGAATTCCTGTTTTCAGATGGGACTGGAACACTGGAGTTTGGCCAGATGAGCTGAGACCTTGGCAGAGGAGCAGGGAACAGCAAAGCTGGACAGTGCTGCACCTGAAGAAGAGGGTGGTCCAGCTTCAGCATTAGAAGGAAAGTGTGGGAGGGGCAGATGATGCTGGGGGACCTTCTTCTTCTTTTCTACTTATCATGTTTGATCCCATAAGTATTGTATAAATCCAAAGCCAGTTTTGTGTTTTGTAGGAAGAAAGAAGAGGTGAGAAAGGAAAGAGGTAAAATTTTCAGGGTTGCAAAGCCACACGGAGCCCTAGGTTACCCTTGATTGGGCTAGAGTAACCTAGCCCTAGGTTACTCTCTGAGTCCAGCTGCCAAAACCCAGTGCTGCACCTGAGCTCACTGGTGCTGATTAGGGGGGATCAAACACCCTGCTTGTGGAGCTCTGTGCTTCCCATCTCTTTACTCCCTTCTTACTTTATGCCAGAGACTTAACCTGTGTGATCAGCCATTCCTGGCCTTCTTTTAATTCTAGGGATTTAAAAGAATACCTCCTGGCTGAGGATTCCTGCTGCAGTTCAAGGAAATACTTCTTCCCTTCTCTAATTAAGCTCCTTCCATGCAYATAAAGTCAACTCCTTACCCGAGAGGGAGAGATGGCTGTAGGCAACAAAAGGCTCATGCATTTCCCTTCATTTGCTCTGTCTCTGCAAGCAAACTCAGCTCCAAACAATCTTGGCATGAGCCCTGCACACACTTGTGTCCAGGCCAGACCCCATCAAAATCTGAAAGGGACTATGCACAGCAGTGCAGCCATGGGTCTCCAGGGTTAATGACCAGGTTTCCAGCTGAGGGTGACTTGGCATTGCAATCAGGAGATGTTGCCAGCAGATATTGCCTGCCAAACTTGTTGGGCAGCTTGGGAGAAATGCTAATAGCATATTGCTAGATATAGGTTCCCATTCTTCTGTGGGGAAACTTCATGTTGATGGCATTTGCATTAAACTGCAACATGCTGCTATCAGCAATCATTGGGAAGAGTCTGAACTCTCCCACAAGAGAGTTGCAGATTTTTTTAACACAGTATTAACAGGAACGTGCTCCAGTACTCAGCTGTTGTCTTCTTCATTTAACCTCTTCAGGCAAGAAGGTAAAAAAATTATGTTGTTTTGTTGGTTTATTTTTCCAAAATAACTGTGGTTTTTGTTTTTAACTGATCCAAAGTAGTCTACAGGTTAGTAAAGTAAGCATCACTTTTACATATTGGGCAGAGAGGGAGATACCTTTACAGGCTGCAGGCAGCAGAATGCACTGCTAAAATTCAGGTGGCTCAAGAGCTCACACAAAGGGAGCTGGTCTTCAGTGGGACATGAATGAGGATTTTAGGGACACATCCAAGGATTCTTGCCTTAATTTCACAGGCTTTTGAATCTGAAATTTGCCCAGAACCTCTCTGTCCACCCAGTAAGGTCTAATTGCCACAAGACTGATGAGCTCAGTGTCTAGAAAGTAGATGCTTTTCTGCCTGTGTCTCCAGAAGGACTGAAGGACAGGGTCTTTCAGAGCACCTCTACTCACTMCATAAAAAGTGAGAGTGCTGATGACCTGGGAAAACTGACCCTGGATGAGAGATACAGGTTAATTTTCCTTCTTTAYTCATGTTTYCATGGCAYAAACAAAAGAGCCTTGAAATKTTCTTTAGAAGAGAGAGAGGGAATGCAATTATTTGACTGGTTTCTTAGGCATTTCCCCTTCACACTGATACCCACTGCCAGGGAAGTTGTTTATGTTCTTAAACAATGACACTATAAAATCGGAAGGGTGGAGTGGTATTCAGATTTTGTTTTGTTAGTGGGGCTGCTAGWCTTTGCTATTAAAATATTCACTCCTGGGTTGGGTAATGATGTTTAGAAGCTTGCAGAGGAGCCTGTGCAGCTGCACACAGGCACAGCAAATAATTTGCCACTGCACAGCCTGTAGCAGGCCAATGCACATCCAWGTCAGTTTATGCAGAAATAACTGGCCTAGGAAGAAATATAGAAGATACCAGAGRGACTGATGCAAACTAACAAAAGCAATCAGGAAAAAGCGTTCTGGCATAAAAGTAGCATCCTGAGAGTCTAGGTTGTTTGGAAAATGAACTTGGCACCATTTTGCTCGAAAAGCTGTTTTGTACTGAAATGTATTGGTTTTTAATTTAAAGCATATGTTGTGCCACTTAGGGATGATAAGAATTTCTGTTATAGRAAGTTTATTTTTTCTTATGAGCTGTTTGTCCCTTTCACTCCAAATCATCACAGAAACACTTGGAAATGTATTTTTGTACAAATGGTCATGAAAAATAAGAAAGCCACTTCTACCAATTTTCATGTGAGAAGACAGCACTGTCATGTTGTCTTTTTCTAGGATAGACCATGTAATTTCTGCCAATTCTGTTTTCCTCTTTGTACAAGAAAGGAATGTATTAAGGCACTTTAATGGGACGCAGATAAAATAAATAAAACATGCAATGGAAATTATCATGTGGCATCAGGCAAAACAGGTTCCTTCTTATTTAACTTGTATGAAATACAGAATTAACACCAAGGCTAYAGCTCTCTTACCCTCTCCGCCCTATTTACTGCCTCCTCCTGTTGACTTAATAATATAATCTAATACAACTATTAATTATGACAGCTTTCAGCACAGGTATTTTTATCCTTTGATAGTTTTTATTTTGATTTCATCTACCCTTAGCCAAAAAAAAAAACCGATAAACAGAGAACAGATCATGAATAGTTATAGAAAAGGAGTGTTTGTAATTTCACACAGCCATGGAGGCAGTTTGTAATTTTTATGAGGTCTGTAGTATGCAGTGGTTTCTTCTGAAGGAAGCTGTTTTCCTGGGTAGCTTCTTGCTCAAATACTGCATTGCCAGTAATTTCATTTTCCAGACTATGTCAAAAGCTGCTGAACCACCATGCAAAGGTTCTCCTGTCATCAGGGGCTCTGCACTATTAATAATACCCAGTGTATGTGCTTTGGCTAGTGAGGAACAGCAGCTAGGAACTTCCTGGAACACTTCTTTTGATCCTGTGTCATCCCTCCTTACCACTCCAAGATTATTTAAAAGTGACATTACCATTTGCTGTCCACCAATTAGATGTTCTCCCAGCACCATGGTCCTTGCAGTAGTTCCAGTCTGATTGAGCTATTACAGATTACACAGGAGGCTTTATGGTCTGGAATCATTCACACACTTGTTCCCACCCCATTTTAGACTAAGAAAGTTCACTAAATCCTTTTACTATGCAGTAAGAAAGTTCCTCCACTAGCCCACACCTGCCCTCCCCTCCTCTGGATTTCTGGGGCAGCTCTCCATGCAGTTCCCACTCACAAAACCATGGAGCTGGCTGTAGTGTTTGCACCTGGATGTCTCCCTGGTGACAGCCTGTTGCTTTTGCTAAAGGAGTGGCCACCTCAGTGTGCCAGTCACTCACTTCTAAAACCTGTTCCCAGATCTGGGCTCTCCCTCCTTTCTTGGCTCCCAGCCCTTTCCCTGCAGGGTGGGGTGGAGGTGCCTCCCTCCCACTGAGTAACTTTATTAACTCTTTTTATTCTCCTTCACTCGTTTTGAAGTTGGGACACACCTACAAAATGCCTCATGCCCTACATKTACCGTGACTGATTTCACAGCTCCATTTCAGATCTTCCAAGAGATGGGGAAGTGTAGCTTCACAGACTTCAGCACTGAAGATGCACTGAGTTTTGTTTTCCAGGAGGTTGTGGATAGTAGAATACAAAGGTGGAAGAAAAGAGAAAAATTTAGTGCAATATCTTGTGGTAGGATAACTGCATTACTAAAAGGAAAATGAAAATGATATCACATATAAAGACACAACAGAGCTAAAACAGCTGTGTTCAGAATTTATGACATAAAACTCATCTTTAATTTTTCTGTCTGCAAAGAACCCTTTGTATATTTCTCACTGTTTTGTCTATTTGAATTAGGTCTTTATGTGAAGTACTTCTGGACGTCAGGGTRAAACAAAAGTCTCACATGAGAGACATGAACATCCATGAACTTTTCTTTCAGCATCACAGGTTCTTTCCCCAGAGCATCATTCAGAAACAGGATAAAGCATGGATTATTGCTGTGCTTTTCGAGTTAGTCAAATAGCAAGAAATGTCTGCATTTGCCACATGTCATACCTTCACATATTCAGAAACTTTACTTTTTCATGTCTTCCAAGTCTCTGCAGCAATCTGCTTTAAGCTCAGTCTGTTTTCCTGTTGGCTGAGTTTTTCCCATTGCCTAGCACTTGCTGCAGGCTAAGATGGTTTCACAGAAAAATGCTGCATCTTGGCTGAGCCATTTCAGCTCCCAATGCCCTGGTAACTTCTGGCACCTGAGCTTTGCAGGCAAAGCCATGCCTGGCTCATGGCTGAGCTGGAGATAGCATGCACTCTGCATCTTGASAACACTGCAAGGCATTTTGAATTGCTCTTTGAATAAAGAAATCTCTTTGTAAGTCAGGCTCTCTGTGAAGGGCTGTGGTAGAAGAACTGGGGCCTCGGTGGGAGAGCCAGGTGACAGGAGAGTTTTGGAATATCTTGGAGGTCCCCAGCACAAGGMAACCCCTTCCCCAGAGGGCTGCAGACAAATTTCAAAGGGGCACTGACAGCCCAGGACTGTACAAGTGCCCTGYTGATAAAAGATCCTGAAGTTCAGCTTTGCACCAGCCTCTTCCCACCCTTCACCTCTGGTGACACAGCCTGGAGCTCCTCGTGTCACTTCACTTTGCAGGCTGCAACTCGAGGGCTGATGAAGGGTGCTTGCTGTGCYTGGCCATCTGTGGGCACTGGGGAGAACCTCTTGGCTGGGCACTCAACAGAGAGGAGCTCTGGCAACTTTTCCTGGACCTGACCCTTGCTGGTCCCAGYGCAGGCTGAAAGGTAGAGACACGCAGATCTGTGTCATGGGAGACATGAAGGACTTGTGTCCATACTGTGGCTGTGTACTTTCCCCTAAATTAATAATCTTTCTGGAACATAGACCAGTGTTATTCGTCCAAAATATGTGTTAGATACTGTTGTGTTTGTTTTGGTTTTTTTTTTTTTTTTTTTTTTTTTTAAATGATTCCAGAAACATTTGTGTGATCCCACTGGTATCCACACAACACCATTACAACACCTAAGATTCAGGAAAGGAGTTTCTAATCCCTTTTTTTTTCACATGGCCTCATCTTTGCAATGATCAGGCTGACCTTGGTCCCAACTTGTTCTTAGGGCTTTGGATTGAATGTAAATGACCCACAGGAGAGGTATCAGACTGTAATGTTTCTAATATAAAAGTAGAAACTGACACAGATCTTGTCATATCACTGAGAAGGATTTACAGACTTCTTTTCAGGGCTCTTGAGCTATTACTTTGTTCGGAATTTTAAACTGTGCATCCTGCCTGTGTCTGTGACTCCTGAAAAACCCTTGAGGAGTGAAGAAGTGTATTTCAAACTCTTAATTTTTCTGTATGTAGTTCAGTCTCCATAGCTGTTAATGACCCTATTTCCTGTATGAAAACATTTAATTAATAGTGATTTTGTTTTTATAAACCTGTTGTTTGAAACCCCCTTACCCCAGCTCTGGTTATCACACATGGTTATGTGCAGGCTTGGTTTCTGTCACCAAGTCTGTCACTAATCTTAGGTTGTTAAATAGGGAGGAGTTGATGCAACTGCATCAAACCAGTTGGGAGAAGGCAAAGGTTAATCCATACCTGTCTAATTTCAATAGCATGAGTTGAAATAMGACACAGAATGGGAGGAGACAGAAAAAGGCTCCTTTCTGAGGGATTTACATATGCTGTGAGCGTGGGTCCCTTTTGCAGACCCTTTGAGTCCTGGCTCTTGCTGTGCATCACAGACTGACAGATCTGTGCAAGGCTGATTAAAACTCTCAGAATTTAGAAAACATCTGTTATGTTCAGCGACCAGCTACGAGACAATCTCAGGGCAGACAGATGTTTCACAGTGTGGTCCAGCGAGGCCAGTTGCATTAAATGTCTTCATTCTTTTGTGCTCCCAATCAGCAGCTGCTTCATGATGGACTCCATTTCTAGAGCGGTTACTGAGTTTTGCCTTGACCTCTACAAAAAGCTYAACAGAAGTGCAGAGGATACAAATATTGTCTTCTCTCCAATGAGCATCTCTGCTGCCCTGGCCCTGATCCGCCTTGGTGCAAAAAACAACACTGCTGTTCAGATAGAAAAGGTGAGTAGGAATGCACCATGGTGAGGTGCTTCCACACTGCTTGCTGTTCCCTTACTGGAGATGTTGGGCATCCCAGTGCGACACCCGTGTGTGTCCCTCAGGGAACCCGAACCCAGGCAGGCACAGCTGCTGCCTTCACCTCGCCATCTGCTGGTGAGAGTCTCATCATGACCCCATGAAAGGCTACGAAGCAAGGGCTGGCTAAGCAGCACGGTGGGGCACTCTGGCTTTCCCCCAGACTGCTGTCAGAATATCAGACTTTGTTTCAGAATTATGAGAGGAATTTCCTCTTGTGGCTGCTATGAGGATACTGAAAGTGGGAGTCTGGGTGGGCAGTGGGGAGAGCTGCAGAAACTCAAGTTGTTGCACCTGGGTGGCTGGAAACATTAGCTACTTTCCCTTATGACATTAAAGTGTCAAAATGTCTCACCCCACAGAGACCCAYGTGGGCAAGGAGAGGTGAAGAACCACCACTGTTCCAATCACTGAGCCTTTACTCCCTGCAGTGTCCGTTCTACTTTCTACAGCCATTCTTCTCTTTTCTCTTTTGAGCCCATGAGGGGTAAAAGAGCAGTAATCCCAAGRCAGAGATTCTTACCAGGGTGTGGTGGGTTGGTCTTTGCTGCGGCTGCCAGGTGCCCGCCCAGACATCCTCATTTGCCCTCTTCAACAAGGACAGGGAGAGAAAATAARATGAAAAAGCTGTGGGTCAAGATAAGGACAGGGACATCACTTGCCAATTACTGTCATGGTAAAACAGACTTGACATTTTGGAGCTGTCTGGAATCAGCCCTGTTTGATGTACAGTCTGTTCTCTTTGCACAGAGAGACCACTGCTGCAGCCCCCTGGCTACCATAACCATGCCACATCAATCCTTTAGACAGGAACTCCTTCTTATTTTAGGAAAACAATGGGAATTGCTCAATATCAGTATCCTCAGTAAAAAGAGTGTAAGTCTATGTATGATGCAAAATTATTATAATAGAGAGGCTCCTGAAATTTTTTCARTGAGATATTTGCACTTTAGAAACAAGGACTGGTTTCCATTAAGAACACTGTRGTTTTGATCTATTTCTTAAGCTGATGCTTAAGAATGATTGCAAGAAACCAGTTTTGATGCTTACACAGAAAATTATTTTTATATCTTTGCTTGGGGCAACTTTTCATTTTGAAATTTAAGGTAACTAGTAATGAAAACACAAATCAAACATTTTTTGGTAGTGAAGAGTAACTTTTGAGGGATTAAGCACAAGTTCTTCTTGGTGTGTTAATATAGAAATGTGAGTCTGAACATRGTTCAGACTTGAACAATTTCAAGTCTATCATTTCAGCTGATGAGTGAAGCTGAAAAAACATCTTTCATKAACATACACCACTTATTCAATACAGCCCAACAAAGTTTTTAAACAAGGAATATGGTTTTATCCTGGTTACAATTGCCATAACTTGACATCCTCAACTGCAGGTGCTCCATGTCAGACAAGCTGCAGAAAGAACGAGCCTTGGACATGATCATGAGAGTGCAGCCCCAGAAATGGAACCAGAAGAAAGTCTGGAGAGTCTGCCTTCCTTCTCAGAGGTGCGTCCTTCTTACGTGGGGACCCCTGCCTTCACTGAGTGGTGGGTTAGTGCAGGTAAAGCACTAGGATTTGCCACTGGAGGGAGTCAGGATCACAGGCTCAGAGTCTGCCTAATCCTCTAGGAAACTCCTGACACGAGGTGTTATTTTATGAAGATTCAAATCTTCCAGTAACTCAAAACCAAAGCCTTCAATGATTTCATCTGAAGGAGGATCAGGCTAAAAATCATGGACTAGTTGAATTTAAAAATCAGTACAATAGRGTTAGCCTTATAGCATAATCTGATTAAGATTATTAAGCAAATTAACAGCTGAAGCTATTCAGAGGAATCATTTTAATTTGTTTGTTATGCTTCCAGTGTGCCAAGGATGGAGACCTTAACCATAAAGCATTCCAGGAGCTGCTTTTMCAACTACAAAACCTTGGTGAAAAATACGTTTTAACGTTGGCCAGCAATCTCTTCATACAACAAGGATTTGAACTCCAGCAGGTAAGTCCCCTGTGTCTGCTAACTGCTGTGGCCCTGACCTGCTGAGCCTTCCCTGTAACTGTGAGTCTCATTGCTGTCCCCCTTGTGTGTGTGTTGGAGCACAAGAAGTGCTATAGCTCTTGGGGCTGATGGGAAAGAGACAAGAGTGTCAACTTTCCATTCTTTTATTTAAAAAAACCCCCACAAACAAACCACCCTGTGTATATCAATGACTATATAGTGAAAACAGAGACTTTGTTCACTTTTGGCATATATGAACTCTCAGCCAGAGGTGAACCTACGGCCAAAAATTCCCTATTCAATCTGCCTATAATCTACCTACTTAAGGCCTTGCAAATGGCACAACTCAGGCAGCAGTAAGCTTGGAGAGAGTTTATCTCCTGGAGTGCTGTACAGGTTCCTGCACAGAGCTGCTGTGCTGAATTCCTCACTCCTTTCCTACTGAATGACAGGATGGTCTTGAGACTACTTGGTATGGCTAACTTGCTAGACACGTCTCTGCTTTCCAGTCAATTATTTCTGCCAATTATTTGGATACTTAAGCATCAAACAACTCATTTTACATTTTTTCTATTTCGTTGTATTTTTTTATCTGGACCTCAGTTATACAGTTTTCCATGATAAGACCCTTTCTTCTGGTTTTCTTTTTACTTTTTGCCCTATGCAATAGAACAATTATCTCTCCTTCAAAGATTCTCTGCATAAACATCATATAGTTGATGTTTTCAAAATGAAATTTTGGATTCAGCAGGTCCCTCATTATTTCTAAAATACTGTTGAACCATGATTTATTTCAAAGGGCAATAAGTGCTTAATAGATTTGGCTAATTTATGATCTTTATTTTGCTTTAYAGCAATTTCTAATGTGTACCAAGGAACTGTATGGAGCAATGCTGCAAACAGTGAACTTCCATGGTGCTGTTGAAGCTGCAAGAAGAAAAATTAATGCTTGGGTTGAAAGTGAGACGCAAGGTAAAGCAAAGCAAAACTGTAGCCTTTCTATCCCTGCCTTTCTACCCTAGTTGAACCAGTGAAATTGCAGGGTAGTAAAAGCAAAGAAGCTTTCACATTCCTGTGTGTTCACTCTTATGCTGATTAAAGACATTTGCCTTCCCACCCACTCTTGAAATATTAGAGTAAATTATCAGCTAAATTATTTCTAAATTAAAGATGTATTTGTGTCAAATACTTTTGTATTCCCACTCTTATGTCTGGCCTGATAATTGCAGTAATACCTACAAGGATTAACCAGACAAAATGCTCCTGCAAACAGCCACAAATGCAGATTCAGAWTAGCAGGGGTTAATTTGGTGATCCCCAGTTCCCCCATCCTCCCTGTCTCGTAACAGTGCAGAAGGACCTACAATTTGGTTACTCACACTGTTTTTTTTTCCTTCGAATAAACCAAGATCTGTATTTCTAAATTTTTCCAAAACTAAGTTCCCAAACCAGTAATTGAGTCTCAGTCCCGTGTCTTAATGACAGCTAACAGATACTTACATGTTTCAAAATTCCCTTTAGGTAAAATCAAGGAACTCTTTGCCCCTGGTGTGATTGATGTGCATGCATTGCTGGTGCTGGTGAACGTAATCTACTTCAAAGCATCCTGGGAACACAAGTTTGAGGAAGAAAAAACAGTCCAGAGAGATTTTAAACTGAATCAGGTACATCTGCATTCTGTAAATCTTAACATTATTCACCCCAGGTACTGTGAGCATTGCAGCAAGCATAATAGTGCTGAGCTGCCCTATGAGTAAGGTATGAGTGTGTTGGGAACTTAACTTGCCTCCCCTTGTGGGGTAGAGGTGTTGGTAAGAGCTGTGTTGCCTAACTGACTGCACCATTTTCTTTTCAACAGAACAGAAAGAAACCTGTGCAGATGATGTATCAGAAGGGCAAATTTAAACTGGGCTACATTGAGGAGGTGGRTGCTCAGGTCCTTGAACTCCCTTATGCTCAGAAGGTGCTGAGCATGGTCATCCTGCTGCCAAGTAAYGTGGATGATGGATCTGTCAGTGGCCTGGAGCAGGTAAGGCAGTGCATGTCATGGACTAGGGGTGAAAGTCAGTTGTCTGAATCAACACTGGGTAAAGGTCTAATTTTTTCAAAGCTTCCCAACTATTTTAATCTCCTTTTCCCTCCCATCTTTCAGATCGAAAGCAGAATCACCTATGAAAATCTAATGCTGTGGGCCTCTTCAGAGAACATGTTTGAGTCAACAGTGGAGGTTTACCTCCCGCGATTCAAGTTGGAGGGCACCTTTAACCTCAACGAGGTTTTACAGGAGATGGGGATGACTGACATCTTCAATGAATCAAAAGTTGACCTTTCTGCAATGACATTTGCCAAATCTTTGGTGCTGTCCAAYGTTGTCCATAAGGCGTATGTGGAGGTCAATGAGGAAGGCACCGTGGCGGCAGCTGGCACAGGAGCTTCCATTGTGAGGAGGTCCCTGCCTCTCATTGAGGTGTTCATGGCTAATCACCCTTTCTTATTCTTTATTAGACACAATCCTACCAACACGATTGTTTTCTTTGGCAAACTCTGTTCACCTTAAAAAGAAGCCATTTTCTGTGAGGAACACCTGGATGAACAGCAGCAATTGTATTTTTCTCCCAGATGCTTTCTTATTCCTTTGACAGCTAGTTTGTACTTCAAAATAATCACTGCAGCCAGTTGTATTTAGAACCTATGAATCAGATGCTCTGCCAGTAGGCTTCTTGAATTGTAAATATTATCTGAATCCAGAATARGAGTAAATTTTACCTTAAACTCACTGGATATGAATAACATTTTGTTTCATTGATGTGCACACATGCCCTGGTATTCCTGCATYCATATGCATTCTGATGATGATGACAATAGGGTTGAGGTGGGTCCATCTCCCCTGCACAAACAGAACATCCACAGCTGGTTGTCCGAGTCCACATCTAGATGCCTTTAGGATATCTCCAAGATGGGGGGGTCCACCACCTCTCTGGACAAGTCTGTGTTAAGTTCTCAAATAACTCCAAAGAGAATTTTGTATACATGGTGTCTGCAGGAACAGGTTACAAAACCGTGTAAGAAGGCTGCCTTTTACATGGGAATAAATCAAATTATTTATCTCAAAGTTTCAAAGAATAGAAAGAAAATGGTCAAAAACATCCCACTGAAGTTACTGAGGTGGGAACACTGTCGCAGTGGACTTCCAAAAAATGTGTTTTCCTTTTCCCATGTTGCTGTGTGGTGAATTTGGATGTTCTGAGATGCAAATCTGAGAGACAGAGCCCTCTCCATGCTTTGAAAAATGAGGAAAGGTTTTGTAAAGTGCWGTTTAAATCATGGAAATCACAGTTAAACATTACCTTGGAATGTTTAGGGGAAAAAAAATAAAACTCCTTTCTGGCTAATAGGGAGASATTACTGATAATTTGCTGGTTTAACATAAGTGATGTCTTCCTCAGAGGGATTCTGCATGAGATTTAGCAAATTAACATTTGTAATGTACTTTTATATATATATATATGTAATGGAGAGTCAGTGAATAACATGTTTAATGCACAGAATTATATATATATATGGAAAAGAGAAGACACACTAAAATAATGATGTGCAAATTCCTGAAGAACATCTAGTGAATCGATTCAAAGCAGACCTTGTGAAAGGTGTTCGAATAGGGCTCCTGAAAAATTCCATCACAATGAGTTTGATTTTAAAATTGAACATGGTACTTAACTTCTTCAGTGCAGAAATTCATGTGGCTCAGGAGGTGAAAGGCCTGTATCCCATTTCCTTGCTCAAATTCAAGCCTGTGGCTCTCAAGAGAATGCACCAAGTGCTCTCAGGCACTGGGCTTTAGCACAGGCTGCAGGGAAAAGCAGCCCACCTTCCTTTTGAAGCGCTTACATGAAGGAGTGCATCTTAAAGGTGCAAGAAGAGAACTCCAGGAGTGATAACTTGGCAGTTCAATAACTGTGGTATAGATGAGTTCTGGTTTCCAGGGTCTGGTGCCCACTGCAGTTTTTGTCTGGTAACACAGAAGAAGTCGTCTCTGTGTGTGGGTGTCTATCCTATAGTGCAATGGAAGTATTTTGGTCTATGGCTTCCTGTTAGTATGAATTTTTCCTCACTTTCTTAATATCTGCCTAGAAAAGAACAGAGTGAAYGAAGTAGGTCAATTGTGAGTTTCCTCTTAGCTCTTCAGAGAGTGCTGCTGTGCAGCTTTTTCATCTGAATCCTCAGGCATGAAATTAGATATTCTTAGTTATGGGATGGTGAGTCACARCTTTTGTGTAAGAGCACTTCCACCTACACATCTCCAAGATTATTTTGCATTYCTCCCTCACTTGAGTGCTACAGTTTGGAAACAGAGTCCAGCTTTTCCATACACTTACTGACAGTTTKAAATATGCTGGAAAAGCACTCCCAAAGGACCTCTCTCACAAATCCTGATGGATGCCTTATTTTCTCGTGCAATGCCTCGTGAGGCAGGGAGCTTTTGGCACAGCCCTAGTTGCAGCCTGCAACCTCCCAGCATCAGTTGCAGCTCTGTCTCCACTCACTGCCCTGACAGCTCCTTTTCCAAGAGACCCCCACCTCAGCCCCCTCTGCTGCCTGTCCCTTCGGTCCCTTGTAATCTGTCAGAACGAAGCAGTCCCAAGCAATGACCAGTCCTGCCTTTTCCATCACCCTCAGCCTGCTGAGTGAGGAMTCATCTTACTGAACTGTAGTGGGATAATCACTGTGGGGAAAGGCTCTCTCAAATTAGAGTTTTGTAACAGGAAAAAGGCYACCCAATCATATTTTCAGATTATATTMATGCAATCATTACATGTTATCTAGKGGGGACTTAGCTGTATTTTGCTTAATGGGTTCAGCTGCTGGTCTTCTCCGAGAAATGCAATATTCTTCCCAGAGCAGTGCTGAGCACAGTACCTGTTGGCCTAAAATAAAGGCATTGCTCAGCCCACAGCCACCCTCGAGACATCACGAGGAAACACTGTGAAAAACCTGACTGCTGCTTGTGATGCAGAGCAGTCCCCAGGGTTGAAGGATGGGTGCTTTGGCAGTGTGGAGCCCATTTCCTTGCTCATGATTGGTGATGAATATGAAGGATCCTGGAAGACATGCCTGGGGGCCTTTGGTGTATCTCTTGTACCCCAGACAGGAGCCAGTCAACCTTGCTGCCTCATTTGCTTGTTGTTTTGTGCAAATCTTCAGACTGACAGTGACTGTGGATCTCATCAAAAGCCTCAGGAGCGCCACATACAATTCAAGCCATAACCATCAATGCCTCGAGCTCCCCACACCTTTCTGCTGAACCATGTGRGCTAGACCTAGGGCATAGGAAATCAGATTCATACCTGGAGTACAGAAGCAAATATCCAGAACTGAGAACCTCAGCTGYTCTCCTATTGCAGTGTCTAACTTTCTGTGGTGTTGTGGGGAAAATCCACATGCAGTACAATGTCAACCACAGTTTTAAAGTTGGTACGAGCTTCTAAACCGTGTAGCAGGTCTTGCAAAAAACCCAAGACATTGACTACATGACTGTGTTTACAGAGAGTACAGCCTTTAGGAAAGAAAAAGGAGATGAAAGTGAGTGTGGAGCTAGCTGGAGCAGGCAGGGGGAGATTCTTCTTTGTGGAAGTTAATGAAGAAGGAACTGAGGCAGGAGTGACCTGACCTGAGGCAGGTGCTGCTACAAGGGTGTCAAAAAGAATGTTTTACTACCATATTCCTTATGAGTTCAGAGCTGACCACCTGTTCCTCTTCTTGATCAAATACAATCCAAGAAAGAACGTTCTCTTCTTTGGCCTATGTTGCTCCCCCTAAGGGTAGAGCAGGTTCTGCTAGTTTCTGCACAAAGAGAGCACAATAACCATGGTAGAAAGGACTAAGGCATAAATAACTTGTTGCCATCAAGTGCCACTGGCATTTTCTGATATCCATATTCTTGACTGCAAGAAAAAAAACACAAGTTGCTTTGGCATGACAACTGGAAAAATTATAATGGGCCTTTCCTATTTAGAGCTCTTCTCGAACAAGTGAACACACTTAATGGAGATTATTTCATTCTTATTTCATTCTTATTTCATTCTTAGCCATGAAAACTCCTGTTGCAGTGGGGCTGTCTAAACAGCTGGGTGAAGTTCTGGATAAATAAGTCCAGAATGATGCCTCCCCTCTTCAGCCACATGTCAAGGCCAGTGCTGTTGCAGACCTTTGTCTCCAGCCACCAGATGCCAAGCCAGAGACAGCTCAATCCTGAACCTCCCACTTCCCTCTCACATCCTCCGGTAACCCCATGTCCAGTGCCAAACACCACCAAGAGGGAAGGGTTTTGGCTGTCATGAAGGCAGTGAAACCCACAGGTCATGTTCATGTCCTGAGTGGGWGTTCATACAGATTTTGGGCATGGAGATATGTAGAGATTTTTCCCACACTCTTTTTCTCAGGTACTCTCTCCATACCTTCCCTTTGGAAGTAGCTAAGTATGGCAGCAATAAAAGTATTCAAAGAATTTAATTGGTATGGCTTTTTGAACCCTGACTTAAAAGTTGCCTTAGGCACTCAGGGCTTCTGCCACAGACAAATGCTCAATGCTTGTGCCAAAGACGTCTGCCACATGTCTYTTCTCTTGCCTGTTTTATTTCATCCATGAACTAAAAGCACAGTGAGGTGTMATTTACCACCACCAGGAACTTGAGTGTCCTCCACCTTCATTTCTCCGACCTGTCATTCTGAAAATAATAATGAATGCAAAAGACGGGGTTTTTTAGTATCACTGTGAAACCTTTCTAATAAAATTCTTCTCCAGTGCTCTGGTGTTTTAARTGTGCCTGAAAAGCCATGCTCCTTTGAGGCCATGAGGTGTTTGGCTTGGAGGAAGATTGTCCTAAGTCTATAATTTCTCACCCTGCCAGTTCTATGACTCTCTGGGTGGGAAATTATCTTACTAAACAATACAGGGGCGACTGCTCAAGGGGAAGTATTTCTCAATCCATAATTCCAGAATTCCATAATGGATGAAAATCCYTCTAAAGTACCATAGTATTTTCAGAATATATTAATGCAAGTGTCTGTACTGGGGTGCACTGAATGTGACTGGGATGAAGCTGACTGTGTTCACAGCAGTCTGTATGGTGATCTTTTAGGATTTCTRGCTAAAARCAGTGTTGATATATTTTGGCTGTTRCTGAAYTGAAACTGAAAAAGCAAATATGGTCTAATTCTGGTCTCTAGTACCCATACAATTTTCTGCAATTACACAGTATGTGTTTATAAGTTATTAAGTATCAGTGAACAGGTATTGGTGGTGTTACAGATTTACACTCATTTCTGAGAACAGTGACAGTCCCAGTTCTCTAGCTGGAACACCTGTACATAGCAGGAACAAAAAAGGGCTGYCTTGAAGTCTCAATTTAGAAATGAACACACAGAGTTTTGTTTTTCCAGGTAGTACAAAAGCAGACAAAGGGAGAATATGTTTATGAGTACATCCTGTATCTGGTTTACAAATACAGGAGGAAAAATTAATCACATCTTAAATAGGCAGTAAACTGCAGCTCTGTGAATAAAGACATGTAGTGGGAGGCTTTTCCCACTCTCAAACAAGAAGGCTTGCTGTCAGGTCAGAGCTTTGAAGTCGCCCCACAAGCATTTGATGGTGTTCCAGATCCTGTTTGCCTCCCATGACTTACCTCCCAATGTTTACTTTGTACCAGAAGGAGGTTTAGGGAAAGGGCCAAATGGCGCTTTCCCCCAGCAGCAGCACTGGCTGTGTGTGCTTCAGTACCATGGGGACCCTGTTCCACTGGCACACAGGGAGCTTAAAGGGAAGTGTTTTGTCATGATTTCCCACACACCCTTAATGTCCCTTCATCAGCAGCTTGTAGTCAGATACTTGCCTTTGTCTGGAGCAATGTGAGGCRCTTCTGTGTGTGAATTTCCCAGGGTGTCCCAGGCCAAATATTGAAGCTATTGGACATCATGTTGTCTCAAGACATTCTTGTTTGCATCCAGTGATTACTCAAGAACAAAATAGCAGGGACTACTTTACATGTTCTACATGAATTAATGGTTCTTGGAAGAATAATGYTTTAAAGTCAAGTTTTCTGGAAAATCTTATTCTGTGTAGTAGAAGTATCTTGCTTTATGAAGGTTGTTGGTAAGTGATGCTGGTCACAGATTCTGCTTTAGATTATACACAAATATTTAYAACTAGCTGGGATACAAGCTGGGATTCACAAGGTGATGTGTCTGGGTTACAGGCAGGCCAGAAAAGAAAGCACCGTCAAATTTTATCCAGGATAATATAAAAGCAAAATATTTATCAAGGATAAAATTCAGTGGAACTGAGGGAAAGCAGAAATGTGAAGGGAACTTATTTTCAGGMCAGTTCAGGAGCTCTTGGTTATACCAGGAATGCAGGAATTTGAATTGCAGAATGATATATTGTAGAAATGCCATGGCAGTATGCAGAAAACRTACCATTTACATACCAATATTATTCCATGGCCTGAAGAAGAAGTTTTTTCCATGGGAACAAATTCTCTTTTCACACYTCCTCTGGAGCTGAATCAGTTTACATTGGCTGAAAATTTGACCCTAAATATATAAGTTGTAACACCTACCAGTTCTTCACAGGGCTTGGCAGTTTAGGAAGGGTATTTTCAAATCTTATTTTGTTTTCAATATGTACACAATATTGGCAAACATGCTCCATTTTTTGGACTTGTAATACATCTGACTTCAGTAGTTATAAGGATTGGCAAGAATATCCACACAGACATTTATGCAAACAACTACTGAGCCACTACATAATTTGACTAGCTATGGAAATGGTACCACAAGGATGGTCGCAAAAATGAGGAAGAACAATTACTTTTAACATCCAGACTGAATGCCAAGAGCAATACCTTTCTCCTCAGAATGGCTGAGCAGYCCTGGAGGGTGTTTCAGGCTTCCAAGTCCATAATTTGTTAAAGTAGCTCAGCAGTTAARAATACCCACAGGTTTTGGGTGGTATGATTAGTGTGATGTTGAGTTCCTGATTATGAGTACATCTACAATAATTACCTTTTATTACCAGGCAGACACTCCCAAAGACTATGCCTTGCACAGAGAATAAATTGACTAAGAAGTGTTTGCACAACTTGTCCACTAGCACATGTCAAAGTTTAAAGGTTATCAGATGTAACTGTTTTAATTTACAGTCAGGACAACTTAGGAGAAAGTTGAGTTAAAACTTCAGGAATAAGGAAGAACTGAAATGTAACAGAGGTTTGGAAACTCTTTGTCCAGAAGCTTCAAAACCAGGTTCAGCAAACCCCCATCAGCTGTAGTCTAGGTCTTTCATCCCACCCTAGGGCAGCAGATGAAGCAGGAATCTTTCCAGCCACAAAGTTCTGTCATTTCGAACCAAAGCTAACAACCATAACTCCACTGCAAGAAAATATCAATTATCYTTTTCACTGGCTAAGCAATACAGAAAAAGCCTCTTATTTAAAATGCAGAGGAAATTTCCTGCTTTCTACTGCATCCCACAATGATGGGACAAGAAAAAGTATATACTGAGTTACAGCCAGGAGAGGAATGGCTTATGGACATTCTGTATCACACAGCTTCAAAAAATGCTGCACTTGCTATTCAGGAAAAGAAATCTGGCTTTTAAAACGATTTAAATTGCCACAAAGAAATGATATCCAGAAATACTGTAAATGAGATCACTCACAAAGCTGAATCAGCATTATAAAACAGGGTCATTATGCAGAAATATTTATCTGTGAAGTCATAACACCTAACACTGTGAAAGTCTGTTCAGAAGGCACATGCAGACGTCCCTGCTTACAAATGTAATTTCCTGTTAGTCAGAGCTTAGGAACAAGTGAGAAAGGGTGTGAGCAGAGAAGGTACAACAGGCAGAACTGGCTGCTAGACCTCTTTTTGGGTGCTGATAACTGAATCAAAGATGAAGAATTTTTTGACAATATATTGTGGCATGTCTAAATTTCCMTGGAGAGTAAATGGGGTTTACAGCAATCATGGAAAAGCCTCTGGTGCACAAAGAAGCACAGGCAGAAAAACAACAATGCTGGGCTCACCTTTTCCCTTGCAAGCTGAATGACCAGCATGAGGTGGCCCAGGTCTCTGCAAAGTTCACATTCATCAATTCCTGTGTCCTGTTGCCAGTAAATTCAGTATTGGAGAGTCAGCAGACAGAAGTGCTATTTAGAAGCTGATAMTTGCTTTTCAATAGGTCTTGACTCATACAACCTGAAGATCACAGAAATTAATATCAGGCTCTGCTCATGTGGTRTTCCCCATATGAGCTGAGACCACCAGCAACATTTGAAATCTCTCCAATTTATTCAGCTTCTGCCATGGTGAAGTTTCTGTGGATCACCACAGATATTTTATCACCCTGATAGCTCTGATATGTTGTTTAAGACTTGTTGTAGCAGATGTCTGACAAGCTGGGAGGGGGGCCCGCTTGGCCAGTAAAAATCAAAGGAGTYCTTGTTTTGCTCTTGCTGTTCAGCAGCTCCACTTATCTAATGGTACCTTTACTCACAGGCAACCTCAGACAAATCAGGTACTCTGTAATTACCACCTGAGCCGGGTGGTAGCAGAACATGCATTTTGTAAGATGAAAGGGACAAGAAAAGCCTTTGCTGTYAAACTTAAGAGCAGCCTCTGGTTCTTCGACAAGAATCTGCTTCCCTGCAAGGTCCTGCTGACACTGACAGCAAGGGAAGCATATGGCTGCAAATGGTGAGAAAAAAGCCAAGGAGGAACTGTAGACATCCATGTTTCTTGCACTCTTTGGAAAYAAAGAATAATCACAAGGGATAGGCTGGTGGTCTATTCTGCTACTGGGTGAGTCATTGCTTCTTGCTGTGAGGTTGTGYTCTGCTGATTGGCATCACCGAGCAGCCTTGTTTTGGCCTTCCTCATCCATGTCATCAGGGCTCTTTGGGGTTTAAAAATCATATGGAGAACGCTTTATTCCGATGGTCCTGGCCCTATGGACAGAATCAGAAACATTAAAAAAATGCAGAAACATTAAAAAAATGTCCCTGGCAAGTGAAGGAAAAGTTTGGGACTTTCACCAAAATAACTGCAAATGGGTAAACAGTGCTGGACAAAACCTATCCCTAAGGATGTAATGCTATTTACAGTCTTATCTAAATGTGAAGAATTTTAAGTATAGAAAGCAGGTTAATCTGTGATCCTCTGTGCCTGAAAGCAACTTTACTATGACAAGCATCTGACCACCAGCTAAAAGGGCTGTCTTTGAAATCCGAATTTTCGAAGAGTAGTCTAACTATCTGAAACAAAATCTGTCACTTCCTTTGTACTTGAAGTGCTTTTACATCTTTATCTTTCTTTCCATACAACTCATCTCAGCAACTACTTCCCTGTAACCTTTAGAAAAAGTCCTCCTGCTATTTATCCTTTCCTGTTACGAATTTAATCCATGGAAAGGAATAAAGAGAATCTCCTGATTCTGAGACTACTGTGACCATCTTCAACCCTCTTCATTTTTCTCCAACCTGCAATGAATCTCTGCATTATTCAAAGAGCAACAGGTCTGGCAAATGTGATGTAAGTCCCATTTCTCTGTTCAACAGCGGCATGAGCTGTATCTTTGCTTTTCCCAGCAACCACTTACATAGAGAGTCAAAACCTATGGTTCAGGAGATCCTTCAATCTACTTGAACAAAAACTCCTGGGTTTCTCAGACATTCTCATTAAAAAACTATTTCTGTCTAAGCCACTCTCTAACCTACATGAATCTAACCTAGCAGAGAATAGCAAAGCAGGAGACTAGAAGGACAGCAGAGAATGTTCCTTAAACGGAATTCATGCCAGTCCAGCTCCTTCATTATCTATAATTTGATCACTGACAGAAAATGATTCATGTGGAACAAATATTCATCAAATGGAACAATGGACCAATAGTTAAGCTTCAGGTTAACTCAAAATTAATTAAGAACTGAAGTACCTACAAAACCAGAGAACTAACAAACAGTAACGAAGAAACCTATAGAAACCTCTTCATTTAAGACAGTGAAGACAAGACCTCAAAAGTATTAGAAAACTACGTGGGCTAAGAGAGTAGTGTTTCACTCTGTGAGCATATTAGATAACTTTGTCCTAAAAGAGAAATATTTGTTTGTGTCTTGCTGTTTGAAAACCATCTTATTTCTGTTCTGGGAGACACATGAATGCTACTCTGACTTAAAATGGTTACATCTTGCAGCTCCTACTTGTATATTTTCCCCCTCTTACATTCCACAACATTTTTTCTGCCAAATGTGCTATGCCTAGTGCCTGAAATAAGAATGCAGAGARCAGCCCATCACCACAAGAAAGGGAACAGCAYCTGCCCAATTCTTCTCTGCAGTTCYCTGTCGGTGACAATGTGAGTGTTTGGGAATCCATTCAGTGCAGGTGGCCCAAGCTGCAGCTGCAGGTTGAGCTCTGGGTGGGAGCCCCAGGCAAGGGKCTGTGAAGTGCCCACCCAGTGCAGAACAAAAGGCCTGGGAACCTGTGACCCAGCCAGGAAACTGGACATCCAGAGACACAGCAGGAACCCAAGGACCTTGGACTTTCTCACGTGTAGATTGTAAGGTATAAAAGCCCAAGGTGTCCTTTGGGTTCCCTCCTCCGAGGCACCAGCTTGAGCTGATACTTTGTTATTGCACCATGATTAAATTATTTTAAGGACTGAGATGTCTCATAGTAAGAAAAGATGGTATGACTGTGTGAGTGTGAGGTGTGCAGCTGTGCAGGGGCCTTCCTCTGTCCAGCCTGGGTGGTGCAGGTGTGACTGCCAGAGTGGCTCCTGGRCGGTCACACAGGGAATTCTCCTTAGCATTGAAGAACAGGCTCAGCAGGTGGGTTTTTAAGTGACTATGTGGAAACAGGCCAGAAACCAGGAAAGCAAGCCAGATGCTCCTTTGGGAAATTTTCTTGCCCCAGTGCTAAGAAACTTTTCTTGCTAAACCAGATTCAATGGCTCTTGTTCCTTCAGGCAAAATCTRAATCTGTGCAGGTCTGACTGTTGYTCTCAGGGCTTGAATGGACAKTGTGTTTTTAATTTCWATTTCCTCCCAAGAGAAARCKATGAGAAAATTCAAACCAAAACAGAATTAGACCCCTAAGTACTTCATGACTGATAGGAAACTGCCTTCAGAGTTTCCTAAATACCAGAGAAGCCTAATGTATGGTTGGGTTGATATGTAAGTATATTTTAGCAGTGATAACTAAGTGTTTGTTACAAAACAGTGTTATAAGTGTTAATGCACGCATACACTCATGCAAATGCTTGCCTACCCACACACCATATCAATCTAAAAGTGAAGAAAGGTTGTTTTTCAGGAAAGTAACACCAGAAGTACACTRCTTCTTATAAGTAGGTTGCTCTGTYCCTGYTGCCTACGCCTTGTTGAAGCAATATAAGACAATGGCCAGACATCCACAGAGACACTGACAAAAATGAGAAGTAATGAGAATTCCTGGGCTGAACTTAATATATAGTTCAGCCCAGGACTAAGCTGGTGGGCTGATTGTATCAGTGTAATAGTTTCATTACAAAAACTATATATTTGCATTCAATGGTGCCACTCCTGACAGCAAAATACATCAAAATTCGTAGAATTTATTTTTTTCAGGTAAAAAAAAACCTCTGAAATCACCTTTGTTTCTAGGACTTTGCTTTCTTTTTTATGACTAATTAGAATTTCTTTACATCTCAGTATGCATTCAAAATTGTGACTTCTTTCTGAACTCCTAGGGATAAGGAAAAATTCAAGATTCCACAACAGGTCCTCTAATTATAACCAACTGGTTGCAACAGACAGGAATGTGATTCATCATGAGTGAAATTTATGCAGCCACTGGGAGTGGCAATRGTTTTATATCCCATTGCTCCAGAAGTCCCATCAAGAAGCTTGGCAGTCAAGTTGACACCGTCAGTCCTGGGGAGAAGGTAAATATCTTCATGATCTTTAATCGTAAATGGCAGAACTAGGAAATGTCCAAGGATTGATCTGTCCATTAGTGGGACATACATACATACCTGTTTGGCACATATATGTGGCATGTGGCATATTTTGAGGAAGTGAGAATATTTCCAAGTTGCTCTGCATTGTTTTGGATTGCATTAAAATGTATGGCCTGTGTGATGAATCTGTGCTTATCTTTCACAATGGTGCTTCTAAACATCTAAGCTTTCCAAGTGTGCTTCTAAAGAATATTAAAACCATTTGCCACTCCTGTATTACCCAGAGTGGTAATTTATAAGAGCCTTTCTATAATGTTCCATCTTTCAAATACTTACACAGATAATTTAATTTGTCTTGTGTAATAGGGGAAACATGTTTATTACACRTGTGGAGGAAATTATTCAGACTCAGTAAGAATCAAACCAAAAGTTACTTAGTGGAACTTCTAAAATASTGAACTGACTTTCTTATGATCAGATGCTTCTATCACACTTTACTGGATGAAGACACTGGGAAAAGTCTTTCATGAAAAATGAATTCTGTTCTAGATCTAAGATATGAAGAGTTTTGCAGATCATTGAAGATGATCTTCTTGTAATTATTGTGATTGTAACTGAAGGGTATCTGGGAAAAAGAGTTCAAGCTGCAGATAAAAAGTATGACTGGAATTTTCTGCTGGGGCACAATGTATCTTTGTTGAGACTGTTACTAAGTGAGTCTGTCTGTAGTTCCATTTTCTATCAAATATCTGTTAAGCAACCTTAGAAGGATACAGTAGGGGAGGCACAGCTGAGTAATACACACAAAGTTTTAGAGAGATACAAAGAGTAAGATATGATCAAGGGTGTAATTATTAAGTGCTGTKCCTGGAGGACTCGAGGCAAAAAGATCAGGATACAAACTGAGCTGGCGGTGTGGTCAGGACMAAGTTAGGCCTACGTGGCAAAGGCATAGCTATTGCTTGAACTGGAGATGCAGCTCAACTCAGAAGAATGTTTCTGCAAATGTGTTTCTTCTGCCATTTATGGTGCCAGTTTTCACATTTACTGTGAAATCCSAAATGTGATGAATGGAGAATTTCCATGAAGTACTGAATAATTCAGCCAAAATATTGCAGAAAACCTTACCAGGGTGTCTAAACATAGCACGTGTTAAGATAAGAAGCCTAAATTACTTTTTCCCTTGTTTCAGGTGATCACAGTGCATGATGTGCTCTCTCAGTGCAGCCAATGCCAGGTTCTGTCTTGACTTTTTCAGAGAGCTGAGCAAAAGGAAAAGAAATGAAAACATCTTCTTCTCCCCGCTAAGTCTGTCAGCTGCCTTTGGAATGGTTGTCCTCGGAGCCAGGGGCAGCACACTGGAACAGATTGAGAAGGTGGGTTTTCTTTGCTCGGAAAAGGGAATGCTGGCAAGATATGAGCCCRGAGGCTGATGGTAATGTCTGATACAGCTCCTAAACATCCAGAGGATTGGTGCACACAGAGAACCCTTTAAAAATACAATATCCTGTTCCTAATACCAAATTTCTTCAGACTAAGCATTATTATTGAATTGACTGTTCAATGAATAAGCCAGTGTTAAAGAAAGTGTTTTGGAGGTATCCCTACATTCTCCAGGGCTCAGAAGATTTCCTTCCCTTTAATGTGGTTTTCTGCCTTCTCTGGACGCAGAAAGCCTCTTTTCTCATGTAGAAAGACTTCAAAGATTTCATGCACTCACCATCTATTAAAACCTCTTGTTCCCTTGCAAGGATCTTATGATAAAGASCAAAGGGGCCTTTCTCCAGTGACTKTATCTGGTTGTRTTTTGGGATAGGCTTGCAACACTGCTTTAGCTTTGAAGTACTGTCGCCCAGTTGCATTCACCCAACATTTACATTGCAGGTCTTTCATTTCAGAGAAGTTTTGAGCAATAGGAGGCAGCAAAACAGATACCCTTCTGAGGAGGTAAGACACAATGGCAGCTCTGACCTGCAGCAACAGGAGCCAGTTTGTCAGCATTTCTCCTTGAAGACAATCACTTAGCCAGAAAGCGCAGCAGGGCCAATCAGCCCCTCCATCTAGATTTGCAGACCTACTTATTACTGTTCTTTTATTAGTTATTTAAGGGGCCTTGTGAAATCACACATTTCAATAGCTGAGCCTTCTCAGTACAGGTTTCTAACCAAAACAGCACTGCCAATCTAAAATGTGATAAGTGCTTCAATTGCCACCTGCAAATGTTTGACTACAGAGCAGACCAAAGGCACCTTGGAGCTTGCTTCTCCCAGTCTGTGAGCCAGTAGCAATTTGCTTAGCATGCACAGAGACATCCCTGTAGGAGACAAAGGGTTTGCAGGTGAACTGGTGCAGGCCTGAAGGGGAACTGTTTTGTCATTCTGTTCATCTGGCATGGGGGAAKAGGAGGTGGTGTCCTGGTGGATTTRWTTCAGTGCCCCTACCAGCTGGGTGGAGTAGGGTTTCTCATGCAGAGAGAGGCTGCAATTCACCCTCAGGTCCAACTTTGCATAGGAAAGCTCAAGCTACCATGAAATATCTGTTTTCCTGTTTGAAGTGTGAAGATGAAGGAGTTCATTCCCAGTTCCAGGCTCTGTTGGCTGAAATCAGTGAACCTGGACCAGGCTGTTGTCTCACCATTGCCAACAGACTCTTCGGAGAAATTACTTATCCATTCTTCCAGGTAAGGGACCGTGGTGTCCTTTGTAACAGCTCCTGGGAGTGGTGTGGGGAGCTCAGCAGAATGCCTTCCATCAAAAAGCATAGAGGGACAAAAGCCTTTTTCACTAATTTTTTTTCCTGCTGGTCTACTGTATGGAATTATCCTGAAGCCACTTAGAAATTATCTGTCRTCTAAAAATCAGCAATAAACTTCTGCAATTTGTACTTTCCAGCAATACTTGGATTCCACAAAGAAATTCTATCGAGCAGAACTGGAACCAGTAAATTTTAAATACACTGAAGAAGAAGTCAGAGACAAAATTAACTTTTGGGTTGAAAATGAGACAAAAGGTAAAGAAAAAATGTGCATGTTTTTTGGTTTGTAATTAAACCACTTAGGAATATCACTCTCCACTTTTTTTTCCAAAGATAGAAAGATTTTTATATGTTAAATACCTGCACTATTTTGTTTTTCTCAATAGGAAATAAATGTAGTAAGAGGAACAAAAATGCCTTGAGTTCCTTGGTTCCAAAGCTGTATATAAATTTTTTGTTATTTTTCTGACAACATTATACCACTTTTCAGTTTTAAAGAAATAGCCATTAATAGTCAAAGTCAGTAGATTGCCAGAACAAAGTAKTAATTCTTCTTAATTCATTATTTTTAAAGGTAAAATCAAAGATCTGTTTGCTGCTGGTTTTATTGATCCYTCTACTGTACTTGTCCTGGTCAATGCTATATATTTTAAAGGAAAGTGGGCAGTAGAATTTAAGAAAGAAGACACTAAGGARATGTATTTTCACCTGAACAAGGTAYAGTATTGGCAGGAACTGGAGCTGGGGGAAGGATGTCAGATGTCTGTCTCCTACAACAGATGGGAGCTCTCCTCCTCTCTGCTATCCCAGTACAAGACAGTGGTCTTCWGTCAGAACAACAGAAGGCTGTATTTCTCTCCAGTTTGATAAACAAATATGTAAATGKTGGTACCAATTCACATCAGAAGTGRTTCTTGTGCAGCTGAGATCCTTRTTGGGTCAAATCCACTGYACACAYGCACTAAYTTTGTTGGGGACGTTGCAACTAAGGGTACTGTTTCAAAAATAGCCTGCTCTTGAGATTGAAATATAAGATTCTGTTCCTCTGCTAATATTTACAAACAGAACAGTGTGTKCTTTCAGGAAGAAATGTACTAAAGRCAAATTATCTTAGGGGAATGCATACATTATTCATGAGGAATTTAATTTATGGTTGCATCAAATGTATCCATTTCCTCATCTGCCACGCCAGAAAAAAAGAAAGTTGTAATGAGGAAATTGTGAGTAAAGTAATTTGGCACCATTAGAAAGGGAAATGTAGTTTTATACTCTAAAATAGATAACTTCATTGGGACTACAGTTGAGAGGAACACATCAATGCCACAAGTATATTAAACCCATGACCTGTGCAAATAAGGCTTTTGAATTGAACTCTAATCTCAACACTGAAACCTACTAAAACCAGGACAATAATTTCTGTATTTTYCATTTAATATGTTTCATGTGCTCCAGAATGAGAGAAGGAAAGTGCAGATGATGTTTCAAGAAGGAGATTTCAACATGGCCATCATAAAGGAAGTGAAAACAAAAGTCATAGAGCTCCAATACTTCAACAATGAACTAAGCATGTTCATTCTTCTTCCTGAAGATGACTGTGAGGACTTTCCTGGCCTAGAASAGGTAACACTTCATTTTCTCTCTATTAAGGTACATAGAGAACAATACTTTAGCATTGCTCCAGTGTGGGCAGAAGATAAGTGGGAAAAACTTAACTTCTGTTCCTTGCATTCATTATGGTGCCAATAATTTCGATCAATGCAGTCAATATTATCAATACCTTACAGCTTGAACGTGCCCTCACTTATGAAAAACTCACAGAATGGACCAGATTGGCTACGATGCAACCAGCGAGGGTGAAGTTGTACCTACCCCAGTTCAAGATGGAGGAAAGTTATGTTCTCAACAACACTCTCCAGGAGATGGGAGTAATGAATGTTTTTGACTGGGGAAAAGCTGATTTGTCAGGAATCTCTATGAAAGATGGCTTGGTTGTGTCCAAGGCCATCCAGAAGACAATCGTGGAAGTCAATGAAGAGGGCACTGAAGCAGGTTGTGCCACGGGGCTTCTGGCAATGCCTCTGTGTTGCCCAGAAACTTATGAGTTCAGAGCTGATCATCCATTCCTCTTCCTCATCAGACACAACCAAACCAACACCATTCTCTTCTTTGGAAGATATTCCTCTCCTTAGATGGAGGTTATATTGGAAATTAGATCTTTCTTCCCCCTTACATCCCAACTGGCAAGCAGTAAGGCCAAAAGACATTTCTCTAGACTTTATCCTAAAGTCTGGTTTGTTGTAAATAAAAAGACTATCTGAGAYGAGCCAAATTAATGATAAAAGCCTAACCCCCATGAACTTGAGTCATGTTTTACCTTTAGGATGCCTCACAAAAATRATATCTCCTTTAAAATATGCTATGTGATATTTGCCAAAAAGCTGTAGTTCTCTAGAGATATCTGCAAAGAAAATGCTACCTTGAGCCTTTCCCAATGCATTATGGATCAAATAAACTCATGATTTTAGTCCCTTTAAAGCTAAGTGATACATTTTTTCACGTGAAGTAGGCAGAAGGATTTGCATTAAAAGCATGACCTCAGGTACTTGGTCTCTTTTAGCCTTATCTACCTAAGGTCTCAAGGAAAATATCACTTTATAGTGGAGTAGCAAAGTATTCCCCTGGGGCCCTCATTCTAAATATTGATTGGGGGCAGTGTTTCAAGCTGGAGCTGTCAGGGTTTGTTCTCAGACAGCAGAGAAGACAGAAGATTTTCTGATGCAGTTTGGCTTGATCTCAAGAAGGGCAGACCCATTGCTTTTTATTTGTTTGTTTATTTTGTTTTGTTTTGTTTTGTTTTTGTTGTTATTTTTTTTGTGAAATACTCCATATGTGTGAGAAGTTATCCAGCTTCTACATAAACTTCCACAAAACAAAAACAGGGTTTCAGAATAATGGGGACAATTTTCTGACAAGGCCTGCTCTGTGCTGGCTGGGAATGAGACACATACATTCCTACATTCCCACATTGAGTAGTGATCAGCTATTCTCACTTCTAAGAGCCAGTTCTGTTTGTGCCTCAGGTAGCATGAATTTCTTGTTCCAGCTATTTTATTTATCATTAACATTAAAAAGTTTAAAAATCCATAGTGATTGTATTTATATGGGTAGCCTGTGTTTGTTTTATTATTTATTCTTATTTTTCATAATAAACCCACTGCAAACTGGATATTAAATGTAGCTGTCAGCAGAATTAAGTAGACAGAGGAATAGTCTAATATAGCAAGTAAAAATAATGATAATMTTTTTCAAAATTGTAGATGACACTGAAGTCTAACCCCACTTTAAATRTTCATCAAGCTGAATTGAGGCCCTGGACAATTCAACATTAGGATATGTAAACCCTGAAACTTCTCCCTCTGTTACATGATCACTATTACTTGCCTGACCAGGGGGTGAGCAGTTCTCTGGGATGCAAATCAAGAGGAAAACTTCTGATAAAGCAAATTTTCTTGCTGATGATCTAGCTCCCTAAACCTCCTCCTGGATGTTGTGGAGTAGGGGGCGGAAAGTCATAGCACAGGGTTACAAGAAGGCAGCAGCCTGCCCAGTTTGGCAGCAGACAATGTCCAAAATCCACAGATACATGAAGAATATTTGCTTTTCTAGGAAAAATATGCCACTCTTCGATGACTCACTCCTCCTTTTCCTGTTACTCACTGATGGGAAGAAGGTAAAAAGCATGAACATACTGGTGCCATTGTAGAGCTAATGATTCAAAGGGTTCTTCCAAATGCTGAGATATGCAGGAAAAAAATACAGTAAATTACACTGCTCAACACAAATTGAATTGCTAAATAAAGCAGACCATTTTAGTCTGTGGAGATACCTCATATGGCTGCAATTGCAGTATGAAATACAGCCTGAAATAGTAAAATTACCTATAGAGACACACTTTTCATATCAATTACCTGGTAAGAGAAGGGAACACAAAACAGGCTGCTAGCTCTTTGATAAATAAAGTATGCAAAAAACAACTATACATGTTTTTCAACAACTGCCATTGGAATTTTGTGTGTATCTAGTTTCTCTCCATATAAATTACTTAAGTTAAAAGAAAAAAAGAGCAAAATGAACAGTATTAGAATTTATCAGCTTGCATAATCAGGCCCATATATTTTCAGATTAAATGTAAAAGATAAAGAATTAATGTGATAAAGACAAGTGCTTTAGCGTATTATTCCAAAGAGTATGAGCATCACAACAGGAATTCTGTGTATGAGCAAAGGAGAAGGTGTGGCTGAAATAAGGATGTCACTTAGTTTACTACAGCAGAAGAATTTTTGTATTTTTTTTAACCTGCACCAGGGATGCCACATAATTCAGAACCAGTAACTAAATACAGTATAAATGATAATTTAAAAAAATCTATCTTCTCTTAATGCAATCTTTTTTTCTTATTGCCATTTTAACCTACAAGACATCTAAAAAATGTGGTGAGAAACACCAGGAGCTGGAAAGTAGCCTCCTGCTGGTAGTGTGGTGGTAGCAGCTCCTCGTGTGAAGGGCAGTGCTCCCATAAAATTGGAGATGTTTACTTAAACACAGAAGGTAAGCCCTGCACTCTGGCAGCAAGTGCTTCTCCTGTGAGAAAGTGTAGCTTGTAAAAGTGCAATGCCCAATAGAGCTTGCAGAGCAAAGTTAGAAACTCCAAATGGTGCGTGGAGCAGACATATCCCTGAAGGGCATCCCAATGCCTCCTCCCTACGGACAGGCTCCATGCCAAGTTTTAAACCGTGCCAGCACACAAGATAGCCTAAAAATGTGTAGACTGGCAAAAAAACAAAGCAAAATATGTCAAATACTATTTGCATGAGAATCCATGGAAAGGCAACACCCATTTGTCCCATATTAGAAAGATTTGTGTCTTTATACAGCCTAATTACTGAGTAACTCTTGATTTACATATTCAYATGTTCACATTTCCACTGAACTCTATTCTCTCTTACAGTTGCAGTTCTCCTCCATTTTCTCTGAAATTGTGCTTTCATTTAAACAGGTTCTTAGTACATATATATATAACATCATTTTTATTATATCTTCAAAAGATTTGCAATGGATAGTCAATAAAAKCAAAGGAAGATTTTTGGATTGTCACTGAAAAAGCAAAAAAAAAAGCTTTGAGTCACACTTCCTCCCTCCCCCCCTTCATAGAAGGACTATTGTTTATTTCCCTCAAAATATGACCGGTAGAAGGTTATGTATTAGGAAGCCCAGATTCCTTATGATTCCAGCAAGAAAGGCAATCAGGCACAGTAATGTGCACAGTCTGCATAATGCAGACGGACCGACCATCCAAAGCACAAGCAAACATTATTCTCAACACTGCCCAAAAACTGCTGAGCAACCAGAAGAAATCAAATGTGAAAATAAGAACAGAGAAATGCTGGGAAGAGCTGCTTTCCTGGCTGCTTGGTATTTCCTTGATTATGAAGGAAGAGGGGCAAGCACCACGTATTAGTTTAGGCACAAAGCACAGCAGACTCCTTGCTCATGTCTGTTTAGAGACAATGATGGATATGAAAGATTTAAACTTGTTTGTCTTGTTCTGTTTGCAGTACTACAATTGTAGCYTTTGAATTTCAGGAGAAGGATCTGTTCTTCCCCGGGTCCAATGCCCTAAGTAGGCAAAGTTAMAAAAGAGCAGTTGTCTGCTGGTGACTGCATATGGATAGCCCATGCTGATCAAAATTTGCAGCTACTCCCAGGCTGATTCTGCAACCACTTTTGCACTAACAGTCAATGYATTAAAAACTCCCAAAACTAACCCAAGGGTTTGCAGTTACAGACTGTTCTCTGGAAAAGTTGTGCTGCCTCATCAATTACTGGCTAGCCAAACTTTCTGTCTTCCATGAGCTTCTCTACTTTGAAGGTATTAAACCATCCTGCCTGTCTTGGAAAAGTAGTTCTTCATATTAGGGTAATTTAGTTTGCATAATTTGGGAACTGAGCAATTTTCAGATGGTCCACCACTATACCTTGTGCAGAACTGTTGAGGCATTGCTGTAGACATACAAAATGTAGAGTGTACAAAGAAGGCAAATATATTGGGAGGAAAGAAAACCTGAAACACCTACATGCCCTGTCCCAGAAGAGTGGGTACAACAAAATGTTGAGGAAATCTTGGATATTATACAAAGGGATGGCCATCTTMGCAGGGCTGGTTTTGTCCTTCCTGGACAAGCTCCACAGAAGTCCAGACAGGACAAACAAATTGAACCAGAGCATACAAAGKAGTGTGGGTGTCCAGGAATGTTCTTCATGGAAGCCCCAAAGAAGCACCWTGAGCAGCTGCTGACCAATGGCTGGAACTCTAATGTGAATATGTGAGAATGGGAGAATAGCAAAAGACACATCACAAATCTTTGCACACAGAACCTGTGCCCTCAGACAGCAAGRGTTTGATAAGTATGGATAAAGTAAAAGCTACAGCAGCCCAGCTCACAGAATAAGGACTATTGAATGAGGTGTGAGGAAAGCTCCTTTATCTTTAGATTTTTCCATCCTCATTGCTGCTATAACACCCTCATTCTGAGTTGGGAAACGAAACCATCCCAATTATTAGGCTCTGCACATGCATCCCTGCATTTCAGCAAAACAAACAGCACTGCTAAGGGTAAAGTAGCTTCCCTTCCTTTTCATAGAGGGCAAAAAGTTACTCTCCTGCTGTATTCATGTGCAAATTTGGGTTTCTATTATCCACTGCTATGGCCTTTRCAGATGCAGGATTTGTTTCTTTACTGCTCATCAAGTGTATTATTCAATAGAGAGTAATAGCTTTTTGCAAYTGAATTATGTTTTATATTGTGCATTATGATTGTCTAACAGACCATGAATGTTCCTGCAGACAGATTCTGTAGTTTATTCACCTGCCATAGTTACAAGGTATGGAAGATCGATGAGAATGGCCTGTGCAAGTACCGTGGGCCTTGTTGCCATGACCTGCACAGAATGAAAATTAAAAGCTGGCTCTCAGTCATCCTTTAAATCCCACTGTCTGGTTTAAATAAATTTCTGAATACCTGAATACTCTGAGGTCAGGCTTACAGCCCAGGAAATACGTAATTCCTGTCTGTTCCTCAAATCTCTTCCATGCATATCCCTGAGACCTCTAATTCAACTCAACAATGTTGCTCTAAATGCTTTCATCAAAATAAAACTTTAGCAAAACATGCTTTCTCCTCAGAGCCCTTCTCCCCTCCTCCTGCACACCTATGCTGTAGACCCTTGTAGTTTGGCCTCAGGTAAAATAACTTAGTCTCACCTAGGTGRAGAAATAGATGTGGCTGTGCTTGTAACAAGTACAAGCCGTACACCACACCAGCCTTTGGACTGCAGGAACATAATTGTGTCTTTTGGTAGACCAAAACACCTTTCAGTAGTACTTCAGTCTTGAAAAATAAACAGGAAGTTTTGGGTTTGTTCTTACATGGAAAAAAAATCCATTTCAAACCCATCTCAACAGAATGACCATTCTGCAGCTGGCTTTGCTTGGAATTACATTATTTTGGCAAAGTCAAATTGTCACGGTTCTTGAGGAACTTCCCTCTGTTCCACTGCACAGATACTGCAGCAGATTGTTGCATTTCTATCAGACCTTCAGCAGTTAGCCCAGCACTCACCTTTCCCTACATTGGTGKGAGTACTGTGTTAGAGTGCTTTCTGCACTGACACTGCCTCACAGGTGAGAAGCAGAGAAAATTACAGCAAAAGCTTAAATAATTCATTTTAAAATCAGGTTTTCCTCCAATAAATAAAGGCTTGTTTGCTGCAGGTAKAGTACCAGCTTAACACTGGTCTGCTCAATGTTTCAAAGCACAATGAATCAAGAGGTTGTGACGAAAGGCAGTGACTGAAAAGATGACTCCTTGAAGGCAACAGTGGGAGTGTCTCAAATCATGCAATATATATCACCAAGAGCTCAGGGAAGCTGTTTAGATTCAGCTAGCAAGCTGGATTTTTACATGCCTTTTTGAAGCTTGTGGGGTAAGTATTTCTCCAAGAAAATGTAATTTCTAATTTGTATTCTTTAAGATGAAAAAAAAAGTGATATTATGTTTAAGAAATTTAAGGTAAGTATAAGACAGGTGTGTAAAAAGACAGCATAGACAGTAACTTTGCCTTGCCTTATCAATATATCTTATACTGTTTGACTGTCGAATACTTYTAGGTGTGCAAAATACGTGGTTTGTACACCACAATGTTGAATAGAAATAGTTATTTTTCATTGAAAATCTGTTAACCAAAACTATTAAAACTGTCCTTAKATAATTTTAGTAATTGGGAATAAAGGCAATTCTCTTTTCTCAATCTCACTCCTTGCCAAAACTCATACACATATATATTATATGTCTATATATGTATATATGCATGCTTATGCTAAAATGCATTAGCACAGATTAAATGTCTGAAACAGGACCACAGGAAAACCCTAAATTTATATATCATCATGTAAGCAGCTGGCTGTGTTTTCAGAGCAACTTATTCCTATTATTCCTGTAAATTACAGGAAAGCAACATCCAAATTTGTGGCTGATTGTACTAAGCAATAGTAAGMAGTACACAACAATTATAGTGAGTTGACTACATTTGATTTAAAGGTCTAGAGCAGCTACAGAAGAAATGAAATATTAAGTTTGCATTGTCTCAAACATTGCTCAGAACCCTATGGATGGCCATGGGGAAACTCATCCATTCAATGCTATGTTTATCATATTGAAGGGTGGATGAAAGTTTCTATTTCCTAAAAGGCAAGTACAAGGTCCTATCTTGCTTATGAGACAGTATCTTGCCAAAAGAAAACAAACACAAAGAAAGCAAAACTTCTATTGCATTAGAAGTTGCAATATTTCTAATGATCACAGAATTTGTAGGCTTCACATCATTCATTGCTTCAGCATCACAAAACCAGCAACGAACTAGCAGTTTTTGAGCTATTGGCAAGACTTTTAAAACAAGCGTTACAGATCATGACCATAGAGTTGTATTTCTGTTTGCTGTAGATAACACTGATTTCACAATGGGCTCCATCAGTGCAGCAAATGCTGAATTTTGTTTTGATGTATTCAAAGAGCTGAAACTTCACCATCCCAAYGACAACATCTTTTATTGCCCCCTGAGCATGATTGCAGCCTTGACCATGGTCTATCTGGGAGCAAGAAATAATACTGAGTATCAGATGGAGAAGGTAAGCCACACAAATGGATACAAACTCTCCAGGATCCCATTCAAAGAGGCAGCATGTTATCCATTTATATCTTCCAACCCTGCCTAGCAAAAGAATGGCTTTCCAAACTGTGCAGTTTGGCTCTCACTTATTGTGTTTTCCCATGAAGGGCAAGAACAGCCTTTGGACTTCATTAAGATAGAGCAGTTTTGGAGAACGGTTAAGGCAGGTCTCTTGCTTCATCTTTCATTATCTCATAGACMTGATTTCTTCCAGGTGGGAAAGGACAGCTTGAAACACAGAAAAGATGAAACATTCAGAAAATGAGAGTCACAGTGGTAAATACAATGCAGTAAGGCTGTAGCTGGTTTATACACTGAATGCCATTAACTGAAAAAGAAGGGATCTAAGCTGATCATAGTCAGGAATTTTCACTGCAGTGTCCAGTTTAAAACTCACATTAAATGTCTCAGTTCATCTGTGTGCTAATCAGCCTACAGTTTTAGCATGAACATCAATTACTGTCAGTGGACTTCACATACTAATTTCTACTTTCAATTGCAGGTTCTTCACTTTGACAAAATTGCAGGACTTGGAACTACCCAGACCAAGGTACAAAAATCTAAGGTACATTGATTTCTCTTTCACATGTTTTTCCCGAGAACAGACTGTTCTGATTGTGCTTTTAGTAGGTTCAACACCTTTCCAAACCTTTGCTAATTCTCTTAATTTAAGAGATTTAAGTTAAAAAATAATACAACAAACCACCAAAACCCCAAAATCAGCAGCAACAAAACAAACACCAAGTGAAAAATCARCAACAAAACCAACCAACCAAACAACCAAAAAAACCCACCAGAAAAAGAAGACATCCTGCACATATTGCAAGTGACAGGGCAGGATAGGATACTTTGGGAATCAGGATACACTTTTGTGTAGATGAACTCCACACCTGCAAGTGCTGCTGGGGTATTTGAAAGAATCTCATTACCTGAAGCCAGGGTACAGGAGGCAGACTCGCAGTGAGACCCCAAAGTGGGACAGGAAGATGCTTCAGCAGAAAAGAGCCCAGAATCCTCAGAGAATGGAAAGTAACCACACTCATACTAAGCCACAGGGACTTTTGCAACCTCCAGTTCCCACTGTTACCCCAAGAAAAACATGAGGGGTCCCAGTACCTTGATACCACCTGTATGCTTTTGTTCACGTTAATCTTCTGCCTCTGTAAAGATAACAAAAGCCATGGAGCCTGGTCTATCCCCATTCACTTGGGATCCAAAACACAAGGTGGGACTTACGAAAACATGAGACTTTTTAAAAAATAAAGGTAGTATGTAAAGCTAGAGCATTTAGGGATTYGTTAAGCATTTAGAAAGGAGCTCTTTAACACAATTATTCTGAAAAAAAATAAAGTCCCAACTACTGTTTAYCATTGTTCAGTTTTTAGCTGGTGTCACCTGGAGTACCATTATAGGGACTTGAGACAGATGATTCATTTTTTACCTCTATTACAAAGCAATTCCTGATTCCCTTGCCATCTAGCTCTCTTCTTCCACCTGCAGTTTCTGCAAAAAACTGCTATGAAAATGTAAGCACTAACTGGGATTTAGGGGCTCTGCACCTATGACAAGTCACCAATTCCAATAATCAACACCACATTTTTCTTTTTTGCTACCTTGTTCCTGAGCTATGTGATTTCAGGTTCATCAGTGAAGTTTTCTGCTTTTTATCACCTGAAATGAATGGTATCATATGCTACAAATGAATCGAACACATTAGCTGTTTATACAGAACATCCCTCCCATGGAATTCTTAGACTGTAATATATGTTCATTTACAAATGTTCAAACATTGTGTGCTTTCCCATGTTGTTTGTAAAATACAAATAATCCTCTTTCCCATAAAATAACCTAACAGCTATACTTTTTTATCTTCTTATCAACAACTCAGTGTGGCAAGTCTGTGAATATCCACCTACTCTTTAAAGAAATTCTCTCTGATATCACTGAACCAAAAGCCAATTATTCACTCCACATTGCCAACAGACTCTATGCTGAAAAGACAAGTCAAATCCTACCGGTAAGTGATCCTTTGCTAAGCCCTGTATAATTCTGTAATCCCGGAGGACTGGCCAGAGTATGTGATCAGTTAATCCAATGGTCTCTACTGGTGTGAATTAACATGGTTTTTTCCTTTGTCACAGCCCTGGCAATAGTCTAAATGGAAAGGAACTTGTGGCAAAAACATGTCCCTATTAAAAAATGAATGGACTAATAAAATTATTAATAATGTAATTCCCCACTCCCCACTTGCTCCCCCATTTTAATTGGTTGTTTGGTTTTTTTTTGCAAGAAATAATTTGACTTTGGCATTTTTCTTTGCTTGAAAACTCACCTCAAAAAGAAATTTCTTTTACATTTTCAAAACAAAAAGYACAAATATTCTAGATCAAAGCAACTTCCTGTATGCGAAAATAAGGAAAAATTATTTTAAAAAAGGAAGTGGGCCTAAAGATTATAAAATAGTCTGAAATGAATSTGAAAACAGTGATTTTGGATCAGACTTTCTTCCAGAAAATATTTAAACATTTGTAATATATGCTCTGAACTGGTTAAGTAATAAAAATGTCAGATCTGAAATTGTCTGAAATTGAAATGAAACAAAATTATTTTTTTCTGGCCCAGCTTTAACAAATTCAGGAAGTAAGCAATAAGAACACCTTAACCWTGACATCACTATAAAAGCCTATTAGTAATATTTTATTTCACTTTCATACTTTTTTAAAAATATTACTAATTCAGTGGCTACAATTGATATTTTACAGATCTACTCAAAATGTGTGAAGAAACTGTACAGATCTGGTCTAGAGATGGTCAACTTCAAAACAGCATCAAATCAAGCCAGACAGCGCATTAATTCCTGGGTGAAAAATCAGACAAACGGTAAATCAGACAAGATTATAAGAGGGAATATACATCCCTCTGACACCTATATTTTAGCAACTTCTGAAAAGACTAAACATTAGAGGAGAAATTTCCTCCTCCTGTTCCCATTAGTGCATATTTTCTGTAGAAACAGAAGACTCTATTGTACCTTGGTGGCAATGACAGTGTTTTAAATACATCTGGCTAAGGCAGAGGTGCCATGATACACACACTTTATGCATACTTTTTGTGTCTGGAGAGCTTACCTCACACAAGGTTAGTCCCAGCTTCTCTAGAATATTGGCATAATTTTATAAGGATGTGCTGGATGGGTAAGAAGTGGGCTTCTAGGAGAGAAAGCAATGCACACGATTCTGATGGTGGGAAAGAAATGATTTAGAATCTTGTGTGCATTTATTGTGTTGAGGTGGGAGGAAAAACCAATAATGTATTGTGAGAAAGAGAAAATCTGTGTTGGTACTTCCCTCTCTCTTTCCTTCTTTTCTATATATWTWTTTTTTCCAAGCACTGCTTAGAATTATTMCKGGGGATCTAAAAYACTCTTGAACTGACCTATTTTYTTKMAGAAATCTYTAGCCAGATGCCAGTCTTTCAGTGYATTATTAAATCAYCCTCATAAACCTTAATTCCATGGGCAGACTTTTGGAGAAGGAGAAGTCAAGTGAAGTGGCAGAATGTTGAYTGCCTTCTAATCTAATGCTATGATACTTATCACTTTGTACCCTGCTTTTTTTCTTAAAGGACAGATCCAGGATTTCCTTGAACCAAGCTCTGTTAATCCTCAGACTGTGCTGGTCCTTGTGAATGCCATTTACTTCAAAGGGATATGGGAGACTGCATTTAAAGAAGAAGACACTCAGGAAGTGCCTTTCAATGTSACAGAGGTGGGGGGCACAGATACAGCTTCTGGCCAGCTGTATATTCATTGTGTTTTTATTTGTTTTATTTGTATTTACAATTCTGTTGTCATAGACTGGGTGATTTACCTGGGTCCCTCACTGTCAGACTTACAACAGCTGTGTCTGACMAGAGCACACCAGCAGATGAGATCAAAATGGAGACATAGCTCTTCTCCAAAGGCAGCATGATTGAAAACTRAGTCCTGTCCTCTCAAAGGTCTTGTATATTTGTCTGACTGAAAAAAAAAAATCTCCCCCATCACATCATCTCACATTTCTGTTTTGCAGCAAGAGAGCAGACCYGTGCAAATGATGTGTCAGAACAGCACCTTCAAAGTGGGAAGAGTGGCTGAAGAGAAAATTAAGATCCTGGAGMTTCCCTACGCCAGYGGAGASMTGAGCCTGTTGGTGCTGCTGCCTGATGACATCTCTGGCCTGGAGCAGGTATGGCTTTGGTAGGGGAAGGAGAAGAGTTATGACTTCAGCAGAGTTTGACTGCTGTCAGACCTTTTGCTGTCCATTGACATTCCTCCCCCCACACCACAGCTGTGCTGGGCAGGCAGGGGAGCACAGAAGCTGCCCAGGTGCTCAGGCAGAGCCTCTCAGAGCCCTGAACTCATAAAACTTCATTTTATAAAATGAAGGTAAAGCAGTGTAGGGCTGCTGGAGCCCTGCAGAAGAGGATGTATATATGGGCAGTGTTATAAAACAACCTATCTGGACTCAAGAGAGGGGAAAAAGCAATGCAGTCTGCATTATGAGCATTTACTCTTATTTCAGCAATATATTTGAATTATAGAGTTATTAAAGATGTCGAAGAGTTTGCTTYTATTTGGTACTATCTACAACTCAAACTGACTAATTTGCTAGGCTGTGAAACTGTTGGGTTGTGCYTCATGAGGCAGAAGATCAGTTGGACAAAAGGGCATGTGTCAAGATGGTAAAGAAGTGAATAAAAGCACAGTGACACAGGCAGTGCTGGAGAGGCAATTAAAAAACTGCAAGAAGGGTGTCAATAGCATGCGCTTCAGAAACCATTCTGGCTGGGATTTTACTTTTCTGATAGCCTTGATACAAATGAATGGCAGAAAGAAGTTGGATTTGCTTCCCAGGTATTTAATTCCCTGCCTCTCTTTGCAGCTTGAGAACAAAATCAGCTTTGAAAAACTTACAGAGTGGACCAGTTCAGAGGTGATGGAAAAGAAGAGAGTGAARGTGTACCTCCCACGCATGAAGATTGAGGAGAAATAYAACCTCACATCTGTCTTAACATCCTTGGGTATGACCGACCTGTTCAGYCSCTCGGCCAATCTCTCTGGCATCTCTTCGGCAGAGGGCCTGAAGTTATCGGATGCCATCCACAGGGCATTCATGGAAGTCACTGAAGAGGGCGCTGAGGAGGCTGGGTCAGCAGATGACACAGAAAACATCCAGCACTCCTCTGACCTTGAAGAGTTTAGGGCTGACCACCCATWCCTTTTCTTGGTCAAACACAATCCAAGCAACATGATCCTCTTCTTTGGCAGATATTGYTMTCCCTAAAGAGAAAAGGGCTGGAAATAAGGCTTGCCTACCCCTCAGAAACAGACCCCCTTTTTCTAGTATTGTAGTATAACCTCATCTCTTCAATATTTTCTCCAAGTGGAAACGCTACGCTCATGCCCCTTCAAGAATTTTCCACAGCAAAGGCAGACACATCTGCAGGTGAGGAAATAGCAACAAGTGTGTTTGCTCCTGTCCCTTCTCAGATTGGTTTCAGTGTTAATTAAGCCAAGCAAAGACTGAGCCCACAGAGAGTAGAAGTGATCAAAATCCAGGGAGGGGTCAAATGATTTTCGCTTGAAGAACTATCTGCAGGCACGACTCCAAGTCTTTGGTATTCCATTACATGGAAAGCCATGGGCTCTGCTCATCCCATTCCCTGGTACTGTCCTGCTGACAAACCCATGTTTGTCTTTGAGATCTCCAGTCTGGAGGAGATGTTTGTGAACAAGATTCCACTATGCAGGGTATTAACTGGTGCCTATGCAATTTTTTTTTTTTTTGTTACTTTGCTTTTGGAAAATGGTGTACATATTCCCTATCACCAGAGCTGTCCTCTCACCATGAGCACCTCAAGTAACACTGAATTTCTTTCAGAGGTTCTCCAAAGTCATGGAGAGTTTCCCTTCAAAATTTTCAAGGAGATCTAACTTTGTCTAGTTATGGCTTGTCACAGAGTGTAGATTCAAAGCTTGGAACATGGATATCTTAATGACCCAGATGATCCAGGACTCATCCAGGACTGCCAGGCAAAAGAGTTGTCTGAACTCTTGTTTAAAACACTGGATATCACTTCAAATTTGAGGACATTTTTATTTTTTTAAAGTGGTATTAAAGAATCTGATTTCTCCATGGGAATTTTGTGAAAAACACATCTTTTAAGATAATTTTTAAAATAAACCCTGTCTCTGTTGATCTTGCTTAGCAAGTAAACTTCAGTTTGTTCCTGGAAAGCTCTCAGGTGTTCAAAACTCAAGTACATTATTATTCCACTAATGCAGCTGGGCTTCTTTGTTCCTATGATAATTCAAGACTACATCTCTTGTTTTCAAGAAATACATGAGACTCCTAAAGTGTCTGCCTTTTTTTCCTGTGTCCACTAGCATCTCCAAATATGGGTATATTGGCTCAACATTATGACCTGTTTTCATTCTAATCAATATTACCAATTTTGATGCATATAATTGATTTATTTTTCTTAACATAATAAAAGAAAGTCACAAATGCTTGTCATGAAATTATGTGAATTTTCTTAGTTTTCTAGATGACAAACCCTTAAAAATATTACATTGGTAACTGTTATGAGCAAAATGGGATTTAATACAAAATCTTCCTGGTTTTAGAATTAATAAAACACATAGATATTAAGTTTCCTATGCATTTATGAAATAAATGAATGCACATATCTAGAATTTGATTCCTCTCTGTCGTACAGATTACCAAGAAATAGCCCAGTGGAATATAAACTTGTTCTTATGTCTTTTTTCAGTACAATTCCAATGGGTATTAAAGATGAACTGACAATTGGTCAGATAAATCTTTCAAGGAACAGTTATTCCAGCAACTCTGACATTTAAGATGATGAAATCATCTGAAAAAACATGAAACTTATGGGGCATAAGAAAGAATAAGTAGATGGCCAACTCTTAGGCAAAGCATTTCCCCACTGAGAATTTTGTGAGGAGGTATTCTGTTGTTAATAGCAGCTATTCTAATAATAAGGGACAGAGAAACCCTGGATGTATGCATAAACCAGGGAACAAGACACTAGAAAGCAGCCCCACAGAAGGGACCTGGTGGTTCTGGTCTATGGYAARTTGAACACAAGCCAGCAGTGCCCAGGCAGCCAGGAGGRCCARCCATGTCCTGGGGGGCATCAGGCACAGAATCGGGCAAGGGAGAGGATTGTCCCKCTCTGCTCTGACCTGGGGCAGYCTCAACTTGAGTGCTGGRGGCAGTTTTGGGTGCCATAATATAAAAACGACAATAAGCTGTTGGGGGGTATCCAAAAAAGGGCCATGAGGATGGTAAAGGGCCTTGAGGGGAACCAAYACAAGGAGTAGCTGAGATCTTGATTGGTTCAGCCTGGAAAAGAGACTGAGGGAAGACCTCATTGCAGGCTACAGCTTTCTCACATGGGGAAGCAGAGGATCAGGAACTCATCCTCTTTCTGGTGACTAGTAACAGGGCCCGAGGGAATACCAGGAATTTGTGTCAGGGGAGGTTTAAGTTAGATACTAGGAAAAGGTTCTTCACCCTAAAGGTGTTTGGGCACTGGAACAGGCTCCCCAGGGAAGTGGTCACARTACCAGCCTAACAGAGCTCAAGAAGTGTTTGAACAATGCCCTCGGGTACATGGTGTGATTCTCAGGGCTGTTGGACTTCAACGATCCTGATGGGTTACTTCCAACYCAGSACATTCTATGGTTCTATGATTCTATTTCCACCTTAATGCCTAGCGTGRTAAGATAAAAGCAGATCTGCAGAGGAAAGAAGTTGGTGCTACCTGTCTGACAYCCACATTATTTGAATTTCATCAGGATGTTTGTGATACAGACACAGTTGTTTTTCAGTGGCAAAGACAGCTATTTTGCCAAGTATATTTTAATTTTTGTTCTTTAAGAAWTAAAGCAGTGATATAAACTGTTCCAAAAGATTTCAACAACTTAAGGCTTCCCATAAGCAGTTTAATCACCTTTTGTGTTTCTTTTAGTCCAAAATAGTTTATCCAGTCTGTTATATTTAAAAGCCTGTACACTTAAACAGCAAGTAGAACTTCAAAAGGGTTACCTTTGCCACCTTTCCTTCCCATGATTATTAAACTGGAAAGTGCTTAAAGTACAAAGAYATGCCTCAATGACTAGTGCTGTTTTCTGAACAACAACAATGGTCAAAATGAAGGAATGGGAAAAAAGCAAAGGGGCCATGAGACTTAGAGGCAAGTACAAAGCTTCTCCTGTCCCAAAAGAAAAGATAGGAGGCAGGAAAGAGTGCAAATTACTGTATCAAACCTGTAACTTGTTTAATATTTGCTGTTAACAATATTAAAATACTCCAAAAACTTTTTGGGAAAAAAAGCTAAATAAACATTGAAAACCTCCTTGTTGCTACTGGCATTTTTGTCCTTGCCTTCCAAAGGGTTTTCTGAAGAACTGAGGCCCTATTTCTCTAACAGACTGCTATGCAGCACCAGAAGTAAGGCTTAGCAAGGTAACCGGACAAAACCTGAAATCTTCTGCATTTTGTGGTACAAATTGCACCCCTCCAGAAAGCACAAAGAGACATCCAAGGGTCTGCCACTATGACACAACATTTGCCTCCATACAGCATGGAAACAGTACTTGMCTATGTGCCACACACTCCCATTCCAAGTATCTCACCCACACCACACTACTTTCTTTGCACATTAATGTGCAATAACCCTGCTCTCTCCCTCTCCCTTGACATCTCYCTCTGGATATACATACAGGTGCAAAACAGCTGAGATTGGAAGTGACCTCTGCTGATTTTCCCTTCCAAGCTCCCCCCTTCAATCAGAGTCAGCTACAGCAGGTTGTTTGGGACCATGTCCTTCTGTGTTTTGARTATTTCCAAGGATGGAGACTCCACAGCCTCTTTRGGTAACCTGGATTTACCTCCCTATCCATAAGAAAATGTATTTTCTTATGTTTAAATGTAATTTATGCTCTTTCAGGTTATGTCCCTTCCCTCTTGCCTGCTCACAGGAAAAAGTGAAGATCCATCTTCTTTTCACACTCCCATCAAGAAGGTTATGCACGTGGATAAGATCCCCCTGCACTTTCTCCTCTCCAGGGTAACAAGTCCCATCTCTGAGTCTCTCCTCTCATGGCAGATACTTTAATCATTTCATCATCTTTCCGGTTCTCTCTGGTCCTGGTCCAGTACATCCACATCTCTTTTGTACTGGAATGCCTGAAGGTAGATGCAGCATTCCAACAGTGGTCCCAACAGCACTGAGCAGAAGGGTAGGAAAACCCCCCTTTACCTGCTGACAGTGCTTTTCCTAAAGCATCCCCTTGTGCTGTTGACTTTCTTTGTCACAAGGACACACTGCTGACTCATGGTCAACCTGGTGTCTGCCRGGACTCCCAGTTCTTTTTTGGAAAGCCAAAACGATAGCATGGACCCTTATGTAGTGACATTTTTCCTTTTCTGCAGCAATCTTTTCCTGCAGGACACACATCAGGATATTGCTAAGAATCTCAGTAGGCTATCATTCAGAGAGGAGAGGAAGGCTTTGTGGAAGGATGTCTGTGTTGAAACAAGCTAAGAGATTAGTTGATCTTATTTTGTGCAAAAGAAAAACATTATTTTTCCTGGGAGCATGTGCTGAGATAAAGGGCATGCAGGGCTGACTTCCAGTGAGTGRTGGGAGGTAACATGACAGGCACAGTGACATGAGCAATGTTAGTCACAGGCTGCCACAAACAGTCCTGTCTGTGGGGAGGGATGTTGATAACTAAGCTCCCAAGTGGCATAGACAGTTAATTGTGCCAATGCCAGTGGCCWTCTGTCCTGCACTGTGTATACCGGGTGTAAGGACCCAGTCACCCTGCTGCCTTCTTAGAGGCCAATGAGTAAGGCCATCCACATCCTGGCTGCTGGATAATTCCATGGACTGGAGGGATGAATAAGGGACTTTGCATATGTGCTGTGGTGAGTGATAAAGGGACAGCTGTGTGTGCTAGTCCAGAACCTGTTAAGCAGCAGACCCTGGATGTTGTGTGCACTGCTAAGCAGATGTAGTAAGGATGAGTGACTTGTGACCATCACTTCTGAAGATGCCTTCACTTGAGAAATTCACTCTGCCAACACTGAGATGTGCAGATTCATGTCAGAGCATCTGCGTGAGCAAGGCAGCACTGCAAGCAAAGATGCYCAACATTCAGGAGGGCACGGGGCTGACGGTGGAAGATACCAGGTGGGCTAAGAGCTCCTGTTCTAAGGAGCTTGACCAGACATGTAACTATTATTCAGACTGGGGGAAGAACAGAGTCCTACAGGACAAATGAGAGAGGAACCATCATTGATAGCTACAGCACCAAAGTCTGCAGTGGCAGCCAAATGAACAATCACTGGCACCCACTCTGAGCAAGACAAACATGAAACAATCAATATGCTCCTTCCCCCTGACAAAAGAACAGCAGCATGGATGTGAACAAAATCTTGAGCTCTGTGTGGGACGTTGTGATTGGATGAGAGGCTTTGGTCTGTGAGCTGACCTGGACTTCATATTGTTTYGTAAAGGTTCAAATGTCCAAGAGCCTGTTGGTTTAGGGACAGCACCACAATGAAATGCCTGGCGGAGGAAAGGGCAGCAGAGCCTTAGCTGACCTTTTTCTTGGGACAAGCATTGTCAAACAAGGGTATGTGGATAAACACATCCTTCTGTGTTTGTGCTGCATTACACAGCTGTGTTGGACATGGCATTCTATTATCTTTCATCCAAGGAAGTGTTTCAACTGCAGGAAGGTTTGCTTAACCTCACTAGTCTCCATGACAGATTTCAAGTTGCCCACTTGACTAGGCTCTACCTCTCATCTTATAATTCTGTGCTGATAGCTGATCATAAGCAAGATTTTTACTTACTTGAGGAATKATTCAGTTGCTTCTTCAACTTGTTTTACATTAATCATTCATTTGACCAATAAAAAATAGAAATGCTACCAAAACCAGTAGCTTGGGTGCACTAACATGGTTTTCAAGCAGTGGACTGCRCCYTCTCTGCTGTAAACCTTTCTTAGGTTTGTGAAAGAAAACCTTTCTTAGATTTCTTTAGGTATGAAAGAAAAAATTTMTTTCRTAACAAATATATTAAATTCARAAATATTTTGCTAMCAACATTAATGCAGTGAGTTGGCCRTTACAAAAYACCAACTCACAGGATATCTTTGTAGCTACCAAGTTAAAGGCTGTCTATGATGATACAAATGTGATTCAGGTAGATGGTGCACAAATGACAAGTTGGCTCACATGTAGTGAGTGGAAGCCACCACTAGACAATTCAGTTGTCAAGGAAAAAGATTAAAAGCATATTCAAAAGTTAGAAGTGACAGGGTAAAATATATTGGTTAATCCTTTGACTTATGAGCTGTCAGGTATACTGCAATGGACCATGGTCATGAGGGTAGAAGCTTGTTTGAACAAACACAAGGCAGTCTCAAGCCAGAAAGGCAGAAGGATCCCAGCTGCAGGAACAGCTTGCAGTCCAGGGAGCACTCCGAACTGTGTGATTAAAGGTTCACCATACACAGCATGTGCACCCATTTAACCACCCATTTAACCTTGTCTTTCTCCAACAAGGTGGGACACTTTTCAGCTAAATGGGACTCACAAAGTGGTGATCAGTTTTCACACTGCTCCTGTGAGAGAACAGCTCAACCTCTTTGCAGATCTGCAGTGATGAGCCACCCCAGTAGTTCAAAGTCTAAATATCTTTTCTCAAAAGCCCTGTTTCTGCCTAACAAAGGTTGTAGCAGACTGGCCTGGACTGCACACGCTAGTAAACATACATGTAAAGTACCAGTGGRATGTAAATGCACCAATCCTGACCAAGCTCTTCATGGTTACTATTGCATGAGAAACTTCAGCTGAATGGGACTATGAAGAACTGTATAAGGGAGAAAGGTAGGGATGACTCTGAGGCTTTCCTCTTGCACAGACAACTAAAAGGGTTAAAATGTCCACCTCTACTCCCCTGGGGCTTGATTTGTTCTAGACAATTTCAGAGGCATTTTGTATATTGACTCTGGATTTCTATTTTAAAATTACATGACATTTAAGAGGTCAAAGCAGTTCTTTTTATTGTCTGCCCATTCTTTTATTTCAAAGGAATTATGTGACTGCGTTTTGCTTGCTATTGTATATTATGACTGTCTTGCAGAGCATGAATGTTTCTTCAGCTGGTTTGCTCAGCTGATGTGCCATGAAGTTACTCTTGGAAGAATGTAAGAATGGGAAGAATGGTCTTTTAAGAATGGTCTTTGTATGTACAAAAGGCACATTTTGAACCTAGCATCTGGTGCTGTGACCTGTGGAAAAGAACAGCACAYCTTAAACTACCCTTCAAAATTACAGCAATGACTTCAGATCCTTTTCTGGTAGTATCTGACAGAAATCTAAGTATCCTGATGCCTGAATTAAAAAAGTTACAGAAATCTTGTCTTTCTTATTTTCCCAACCTCTCTTTCCCTAACACATTTTTCTTCATCTCTATAATTCTTCTCTATGKAGACTCTTAGAATATTGCTTTTGAAATTGATTTGTATTCCCAAAATATGCTCACTGAGTGTTTTTTTCCACTGATGTGCCGCACAGATGGTCACTATGTCTGAGTTCCTCCAGCTACATTGCTCTGCAATGAAAAACTRTGCTCTGTGAAACACTTTGTGGTCTTTTTCAGTGCAGCAAGGGACACCATGCAATTACATATAACTTCTTGCAGAAAAATCTACTTCAATTTTATTTGATTTGGCAACAAACATTSAAAGGATATGCTCTTTCTTATGTTTCTTGGTAGCAGATTTTCTTCATTCCTTAGGAAGAGCTAGGGATTCTGGTGAGAAGGCTGGTGATACTGGCTGGAAGTCCAGCCAACAATGGAAGAAAAGTTGCAATAAACACAATCCTGCATGTGTTGATCTTACCAAAATTTGTGAGTTCACAGAATGGTGACTCTGAACTSTATCTGGCCTATCACTGCTCATGAYAGAGGAATATTAAGGAAAATAACACAGAATTTCTTACAGACATTCTSTAAGACTGAATTCCTCACCATTTAAAAAAAATTCACAAGTTACATTACACTATTTGCTGCCATAACCAAATCATACTTGCTATTCAAGTTCCAATTAACAGCTTTCATCATTATTTTTGCTTCAGTCATTTCAATGTGCTCCTGTCTTTTCTGCAAGGTTTCACATGCTATGATGAATAAATCGTCCTTTTTGGAAACTTTGGGTTAAAATCCTTTCATTCAGGATTTTTTTTTCTTTTTTGTTTCAAAGAATGGACTTATTCCAAGTAAAAGTGCATGTCTGACATGGAGCTCCATCCATCACTTCATTGGGTAAACACAGAGCAGGCAGCACTGGGCGTGTCACAAAATAACACAAGATATATTTCAAGGGGTTCGTCAAGTCTGCCCCAAGTACAGCTGAGAAGCTGTGCTTTACCTTCCCTGGTGAATCTGATAAGGTAAGCATTTCTTTGAATTACGATTTAACTTCTAAACTGTAATATAAAAACAAATTGTCTTTTAGAATACTTATATTGATGTAACCCCAGGTTTATGGCCTTCAATATCAGTTAAAGAAACTAATTATCAGWGGATGACTTCTGCAGAAATCTCACGTGTCTTCTGTATTATTGTACTRTTTCACATTCTGCCATGCATAGTCAAAGTATTTGTCTTCATGAACCATAGTTTTGTTTACTAACTCTTCCCCATTGARAAGCTGGTGATATGTTACAACAGTTTCCTCCTTCTTCCTCCACTGCTTTAATTTTTCATTTAGTATTAGAAGACAAAATTAAATTTGTTAAAATTCCCAGGTTTATGTAAGATATTCTCTGAACAAAATCAAGGAGTGCAGAATGTTCAAATGGCCCCAGCATTCTGCAGCTCTGTGTTATCTTTAATAGTTTCATTTTCAGAGATAAACAGTGGTAAAAAAACCCCAAGCATTTGCCACATGAATCTGTTTCTTCACCAAGAACATAAATGGAGCTTAAAGCCYAAAATATAGTAGTAAGCAGAATAGGTAAGTAATAAAAAATAGATTTTTATCACCTACATAAGCAGTTCAATTTAGAGAGAGAGTGAGCATCCTTTCTAATAGGGGAACAGTTGGGTGCATTGTTGTTTAAATTATCCCAGAGTAAGGGATGACTGTCATATCAACATGTTGTCTATGTAGGGACTATTATACATATGGCAGAGTACCCTGGATTTTGCTCCTTAGCAGCCACAGAGTGAAATAAATTGCTTGRAGATCCTCAAGACCTTATAAGTTGTATAAACACTATACTGTTAGCGTTATTAGACTTTAAAGTACTGTATTTTCGAGTCTGTGTTGTTTTCTTTCACCAGYCTATAGCCTATAGCTGGCAGATATCCAGCATTTTGATTGCTCATGAATCCAAAAGCGTGTCTGCCTTTTAAATCCACACCACTGCATTCTGTTTGCTGAAAAAAATCCTGTGCACTAAGCTTAGGGTTCATATGCACTGATATTTTTTTGCATTACAATTGACTGATTTCCCCACAGTAAGCCAGACTTTCTGTTTCCTTCAGACAGCAGGGATTTCACAATGGCTTCCATCAGTGCAGCAAATGCTGAATTCTGTTTTGATGTATTCAAAGAGGTGAAATTACACCGCAGCAATGACAACGTGCTCTTTTCCTCCCTGAGCATGCTCTCAACCCTGGCCCTGGTGTATATGGGAGCAAGGGGTAAGACTCAATCTCAGATGCAGAAGGTAAGTTACTTACAAAGGTCCAAAGTAATCTCTACTTGTGCTACTGSCTCCTTCTAAATAACATCACTGAATAACATTATCTACTGATGAGGTTCTCACCTGTTTTAATGCACAAGAACTAAGCCAAAGTCACAAAATGGGGAACTGAATCAAGAATTATACATAGAAAATAACAATAAAAAAGATGTGTTATTTTCAATATAACAGGCAGTCGACTTACACATAAAAAATTCTCAGGGACAACAGCAAAGTAGATTACCAGTCAGGCAATTTTGCTTTATGATTTTTAAATTCTGACAAGTTCCAGATAATTTAATCATGTTTTCATTGTTAATATATAAAAAAGATAAATCCCAGGAAGAGAGGAAGAGAGAATAGTTTTAGCAATATATAATATGTAACTCAATTAATTTCTAGCCATTCACTAGTAAAAATATAATCTAAGRAAGAGTGGTATTTGCAGTTTTCAAGAAGGTCACAGAGGGCATAGACCAGTTGCAAGGTAACCTGTAAATTTTTAGTTAATCTGTCTTCTCAGTTAGCATGTTTTTTTTTTTTTTTCTGAGCCAAGAGTTTTATCTCAAGCAACGTGCATAAATGTGTAATTCATATTATTTTTGGTCATGCTTCTCATTTCTACCACTGGTTCTTTCTCTTGCAGGTTCTTCACTTTGATAACGTTACAGGAGATGGAGACATTACTGACCCCCAGGTAGGGAAATAACTTAATCTTCCTTTTTGTCTTATTTTCTTCTCAGAACTAGAACTGTTCTGCTTCTCCTCCTGGCAATTTTAGACACTAACACAAATTAAGGTAGTGGCCTCAAACCAAGGGGATCTGTGGAGGGAGGGAGAGAGGGTGTTATTCAACTGTTTTTTAGCAAATGTAGAAAGACAGCAGGTTGTTCATCTTGTACCAGAGCAAGTAATGACATGGGGAGGATGCTTTGGGCACCAGGGTGCCTTCCTGGGCAAATGCTGCTGGGGGGTGGCTGTGGAAGGGGCTCAGCCYCTGGAGCCAGGGTACAGCAGTTTGATTTTCAGCTGAGAGACTCCAAAGCAGGGCAGGAAGATGCTGAGCAGAAAAGAGCCCAGAAGTCTCAGTGACAGGAGCACAACTGCACCTTAAAAGTACATTTCAGGGACTTCACTTGACAAGGACGAACTTGCCAGTTCAATGCACCACACCACCACAGCAGCACTTGTCCCAAAGGTGACAGTCTGTGGCAGAAGACCACCCTGGAGCATCACTCTAAACTGAAAGGGACAATACTTTAGGCTCTTATTTCCTTACAAAATCTATCTTCTTTTTCATGTCATCACCTCAGTGTGGCACTGCTGAATACATCCACAAATCATTCAAGGATATTCTGTCAGACATCAGCCGGCAAAATGCTACCTACTCACTTAGGATTGCTGACAGACTCTACATCGACAAAACATACCCTATTCTTGAGGTGAGTTATATTGTGAACTGATTTCCATGAGATTTCCTCTAAAACCCCTGTGACTCTGCCCTAGAGATGCACTACCAACAGCAGCCCACTCTCTGTTGATSAAGAGGAGATTGTGAGCCATGGGGGGAACTGGTACAGAATAAGTTTGGACCTTTCTGTGCCTGTTAGATGAAGGCAAAATGTGTAATGGCATAAAATATGCCTATGTTACAAATCACAGGGAGTAATCAAGACTGCAGTTCATTTGTCAGAAAAATGGCTTTTAATGAAAAATGTAACATTTAAGGGAAAATAAATGTATTTTATTACTTGAAATAATGATAACTGAAATTGTCAAATTCAGATTTTCTCAAAGCCAAATATCAAATTTTATCAGTGAAAGGAAATTTTGCTTTTGAAATCTAAGAATGTTTTGAAATCTAAGAATGAAATCTACTGTGAACACAGTATTTAAAATAAAGAGTGGACATAAAGAGGAAGAGACAAACATTGTCTGTTCTTAGAAACGTGTTAAACTGAAACTTTTTAGTAAAACAAAGCAAATTTATCAAACTTTTAATTTAGAACCCTGTCTCATCAAAAAGCACCAGACCTATGTATGTGAAGCAGTCTTTCTTGCACAGATTTAAGATTCAGTTATAGGAAGACAGCTATCACTGACGTGTTCATTGACTGACGTGTTCAAACCCAGCAGTAAACCTTCACAGTTCCTTAAAACTGCTTTATTTCACAATCTTTCTCATCAGTCTGACAGCTGTAACCCTTCTGCTTATAGGAATACATAAAGTGTGCGAAGAAATTCTACAAAGCAGAGCTGGAAGAAGTTAATTTCAAAACAGCTGCAGAGGAAGCAAGACAGCTCATTAACTCCTGGGTGGAAAAAGAGACAAATGGTAAGGACCGAAAAATGCGTAGCAGTTATTTTCCCTCACCTACCTTWAACTATATCCTTGTCTTCCTCTCCCCATAACATCTAGAAAAAGTGAGTCAAGCAAGAGCAGGTTGCTTATTGCTATGAAAACAAAATTCCACAAAGCCAGAACACCCACTCTCACCCTACGTCACAGAGATTTGTGCACACAAGAGGAGTTGTGTCTTACCCCTCACTGCCCTTTCTCTTTCTTAAAGGACGCATCCAAGATCTCCTTGTCTCRGACTCTGTTAATCTTGATACTGCACTGGTCTTTGTGAATGCCATTTACTTCAAAGGGATATGGAAAACTGCATTTAAAGAAGAAGACACTCAGGAAGCACCTTTCAATGTGACAGAGGTAGGAGGACACAGACACACTTCTGGCCAGGAAAGATGATGGCTCACACGGCCAGCAGTCTGGGTGTTACAAATACATGTTACAGGTTRGGTGATTTAGTTGTGTCCCTCATTGTCAGTGCCTGGGCCTAAAGCCAAGTAATGTTTGCAAGACCTGTGCATGACCAGGCTTCTAGGGCACACAAGCTGGCATAAACAAAAATGGAGACAYAGCTCTTCTCCAAAGGCAGCATGATTGAAAACTGAGTCCTGTCCTCTCAAAGGTCTTGTACATTTGTCTGACCAAAAAAAATTTCACCCCCATCACATCATCTCACATTTCTGTTTTGCAGCAAGAGAGCAGACCCGTGCAAATGATGTGTCAGAACAGCACCTTCAAAGTGGGAAGAGTGGCTGAAGAGAAAATTAAGATCCTGGAGATTCCCTACGCCAGTGGAGACMTGAGCCTGTTGGTGCTGCTGCCTGATGACATCTCTGGCCTGGAGCAGGTATGGCTTTGGTAGGGGAAGGAGAAGAGTTATGACTTCAGCAGGGCTTGGCTGCTGTCAGACCTTTTGCTGTCCATTGACTTTCCTCCCCCCACACCACAGCTGTGCTGGGCAGGCAGGGGAGCGCAGAAGCTGCCCGGGTACTCAGGCAGAGCCTCTCAGAGAGCCCTGAACTCATAAAACTTCATTTTATAAAATGAAGGTAAAGCAGTGTAGGGCTGCTGGAGCCCTGCAGAAGAGGACATTGCTACGTACACCAATCTCCATCAGGCATCAAAWGCAGACAAGGTAGCAGGAGTTTTGTCACTCTGAATGATTTCAAATGTTTGCTAAAGAAGAAAAGTGTAGTCTAGGAGAAATAAAAAAATGAAAGTGATGTAGAAAGCATTCCAGGAGCKGACTATAAGGAAAATGAGAAAAAGTAGCATTAGAAAAACATAAAGGTGAAGAAAGGGATCAATAAAATATCTTCCAAAAGGAACAGTTTTAGGGTTAATTTGACTTTCTGTTTTCCAAAACTCCATTTTTACAAAAAAATACTTGATCTGATGAAGAAATTTTCAGGTGATAAAGGTTTGCAGAACTTCCTCAAGACAGATGAGATAATGCTCCATAGTCAGGAGGAAGCGCACACGAGAAACAAATGTATTTAAATATCTGTTCTATTGTGTAAAGAAAGTAAATGGGAAAGAAAACAGTAACAAGAGGTAAAACCACAGCTGTCAAGGCCATTGAAATTTTGTCTCAGACATTTAATTCCCTACATGCCTTTGCAGCTGGAGAAAAAAATCAGCTATGAAAGACTCATGGAGTGGACCAGTCCCAAGGTGATGGAAAAGAAGAGAGTGAARGTGTACCTCCCACGCATGAAGATTGAGGAGAAATACAACCTCACATCTGTCTTAACATCCTTGGGTATGACCGACCTGTTCAGCCCCTCGGCCAATCTCTCTGGCATCTCTTCGGCAGAGGGCCTGAAGTTATCGGATGCCATCCACAGGGCATTCATGGAAGTCACTGAAGAGGGYGYTGAGGCAGGTGGTTCAGAGGTTGTGACTGGAGACATCCAGCATTCCTCTGAATTTGAAGAGTTTAGGGCTGACCACCCATACCTTTTCTTGATCAAACACAATCCAAGYGATATGATCCTCCTCTTTGGTAGATATTGCTCTCCCTAAAGAGAAAAAGGGCTGGAAATAATGCTTATGTTCCCCTGAGAAACAGAGCCCCTTTATTCTAGTATTGTAGTATAATCTCATCTCTGCACTACTTTCTCTAAATGGAAAGCCTTCAATATCTAGGGAGATATTCCTGAAGAAGTGTGTCACCTTTCAGATTTTTGGGTGCAGATATTTCTGCTTACACAAGTTGTACTCAGGACTTACATCCAGTAATAAATGAGAATTTCAAGAGGTAGCTTAGAAGTATTTTCCATCGTAATTGAGYATCTTAGGATTCAGGGCCAGTGTTTTGATTTTTGTAAGAAATTCTGACACTGATATTGAGAATCTGGTTTTTCTATAGTTCTCTGAAATAAACACGCTTTCAGAAGTTGTTCCTTTCTGTTGAACTTGCTGGCAACTATCCTTGAATTGATGCCTGGACAACTTGCAGATGAAATACTTAATTTAAGCAAATCATTCTTCTTTGAGGAATGTATTTGTGGTTCTTTGTGTTACATGTACTGTAAGGCTAGGTCTCTTGTTCTGAGGGGGCATACAGAAAGTTTACCATTTCTTTCTAAATCATCATCTCCAAACACAACACCTTCCTGACTTATGCAATTTCCCATCTCCATTCCCATGACATGTCATTGATTTGGTGAATGTCAATTGTTGGTCCTTCTATTTATTCTAATAAAAGCATTGCAAACTAAACATGTCTCTACCTGTTCTGGGTTATGTATCACACAAYCAAAATATATGATATAGTGGGTAATGGTCATTGACAGAAGGGGTTTAGACTGGGATTTAGATCCTATTTTCAAAACCAGAATGTACCCATATATGAAGTCATTAAAGAGTTTTYTTCTAATTATTTTTCTAAATTTTTTTCTAAAATTCTGAGTTTAAGCAAGGTAAACCCTACAGCTCCTATTTTTACCTTGAGCTTATCTCCATATGACATGCCAAATAACTCAKTTTTTTGAATCTGCTATTGAATTTCCATATAGTTTTAAAAGATTTTCTCTACTTGCCCTTAGTAAATATAATGAGGTGATGCCTGAGAGACACAATTTCAAAAACACGAGAAAAATCTTTTTCTTAAAAGGTGGACTGCTTTAACCRTCTAATACCCACAAGAATTGTGCAAGAAGAGGATTATAAACCTTTGATGACATAATTTCCCAGAGATACTATTTCCGATTTTACAGTCTTTAGGGTTCTTCAGGTTGCAGTTTATCCAATTGAAAGGCTTATTAGCATTAATCACTGACTGAAGCAATCTTCCTTCTGATGGCATGCACATGCAGAACTGCAAATCACAGTACTTAAAAAGTGCTTAAAAAGGGAGACACTCGGCACTATTTGGAGCTGTCTCAAACATTTTCAAACTAAGTATTAAATGTAACTTGAAATGGTGATGTTGGCTACAGGGAAACACATTCTCTTAGCTGCTATGAAGCTTGTGGGAGAACTGCAAATACTGGTCTTCCCAAGACAGTTATGAGAGATTAGATATGGTTAACACAAGTATTCAAGCAAAGAAGTATTTTTATRTCTATGCAATTTCAAGGTTTACTGTGCATATCATGTTCTGCTTCTCTTATAGCCTAAAGCAGTAAAGAGAGTTTTGCTGCAACTAAAGCAAAAAAAGGAAAAGACAGGATTTATAAAATATTTTTCTAAGGAGCAGAGGGTGAAAGTTTATAAACAATTATAAACCTGTTATTAAACTGAATCAAGCMTATCTGTTGCTTTGCACTTTCTAGGTACAATTATAATAACGTTGGTATCTATTAAATTACATTACATGGATCTAAAAATGACTATTCTCTTGTTTAATTGTTCCTTTGCTTGATGATTATTTTAAAGAAATGAAAAAAAAAMCCCCAATCATTGGTAAGGAAATTWATTCAATGGTAAATGGTTCCTTAAAACAACACTACAATTAGGTCCACCTAATGTCCTCACAGTGAAACACAACCATTTGACTCATTTTAAATCGGGCCATTAGGTGTCACTAGGGATACAAAATGAGTATTTGTATCTCAAGTCTTCTTACAGACAGACATCTGTTGTAGACTAGGTTTGCGAGCTTAACGTAAATTTCAATTTTGTTCCTAATTTTTGTGTGAGCAGATGATTATGATCAAGATACTGAAATATAGACCAATGGCACTGTGCCTGGAACCCAGTAAGTTTTGAAGAAAAAGACAGAAATACTATTTGCTGAAAGATCAAAGGCACTTTAAGAGGTGTCCGTCCTGGGTGAAAAAAATAATCAAACACTGTAGAAGGGATGGAGCTATTTGGTTTATGAAAGAGAACACAACCTCCATAGAGGCTAAAATGAGAGGTAAAAGTCCAGATTCAGTGAAGTTGAGTAAGATCCACATCCCTGTATCAATGGCTGGGCCCAGTACTGCACTTGTGCATTGCTGGTCGGGACCAGCAGGACCTGCTGCAAAGGCAGTGCCACGGTCAGTGTGGCTGCTGCAGCTCCCATGGGAAGCARTTCTGGAAAGAGCAGCATGGAGGGTGTTACAAAACGATGAGGGAAGAGCAGCCATGTAGAGGGCAAACACTGCCTTGCTGTTTGCCAGTTCTGAAGTCCAGCAAGGTGGTATGTCAATAACTGGCCATCTGTTCATTCACTACACTCCATTTCCACGACATGCCATGTTGTTCTGGATATACAGTACTGCCAGGCTGTGGAACAAAACCAGATACATTACAGGACAGCACTCACAAATGGTGTGTGAACTAAGTGTGCTTTTCCTTCTCATGTCATTTGGGGAAGGGTTGGAGATGACACATCTTCCCAGGCCTTTGGGGAATATAATTTTCTGAGACCACCCCACATCCCTCTGCATATATGAGTTTCGAGAGAGGCCTTCTCATAAGCAAACCAAATCCATGTCTGAAGGCACAAGATTTAGCAGGCATTATACTGTAACCATAGTCACTAAAGGAAATGCAGAGAATTTCCTGGACTCCAGGGCAAAGCTATCCTGGGCTCCCAAATGGTATTTGAGAAAGCACAACATGCTGACTCAAAGTGAAAGCTACATGTCCGCTAGAAAGGCTTTGTCACAGAGTAGGGCTTCAGTTTTCTGTTTCYTGTGAGCTAAGATTTATCAATATGGAAAAGGGACAGAGAGGAAATTGTCAAAGAGCAGCAAGGGTGGGGCTGCTTGGCAAGGAAAGGGGATCCAGGGCAGGAAGACAAGAAGACCAGGAGGGCCCATAAGATTTAAAATGCTGCAGCTGTCCACACTGCTGCTGCAGCCCAGTGAGTCCCAAACATGCCTGTGGTGATGAAGCAGGTCAAATATCAAGACTGGAGGTTAAATCCACAAATCAGGGTCTGCAGTGTTCCTAACCAGAACACTATTGTACATTGAGGAGTTAGTGGCCACATAAAAAATAAATCCAATCTGGCTGATCAGTGCGTGCAGTTTTGTGCTAGGTTATGCTGCGCATACTGCTTGGACCCTGCAGTGCCAAACATATCACGTGGCTGTGGGCTAAACCTCACCTGCTATTCATAATGGAAAACTTTGTAGATGTTCCTGAACTGGCACTCTGTGATGCTGCTGCTGGTGCATCCTTGTCTTTCTCTTGAAGTGAAGCAGCTTTTTTTTGTATAAGTATACTTTCATTCATCAATAGGAATTATAAACAGAGTTGTTTATGTCTCAGAACATACCTATAAAAATGTGAAGATCACACCACCAGTGAACCTYTGCGTGCATGGGATATACACAGCGTGCCGTTCCTGGAATAAAGATCCATCCAATGCTGAACCACTTAAGGCTCTGACCACTGGAAGGGACACGGAAGGGTCTGTGCTATCTCCTTTTCCTCTCTCATGCTATTTCCAATAAAATGCACTTCATTTATTTTGTTACTAGTGTCCAAAATGAACACTTGCAGCAGTGAATTACACTGTTCATCTTGGTGAATTACAGAGTCCACCTTGGTGAGGTTCATGGCCAGGCACAGGCATGCAAACTAGCAAGAGCCACAATCAAGAGACTCTTGAGTGAGTGGGATGTAGACCCCCRTGGAAGCATCTCACAGCTCTGCCACAAACAGTGCTGTGATTCAAGGCTTGGCAGCTGCTTCAGATGTCCCTGAGCCCCTGCAGTCAGACTCCTAGGAGAGGGATGATGAGCTCAAGAGAAGAGGTTCCTGAAGTCCTGTGTGATACAGAGGAAATGACAGAAATTGGCTATTCGGTATATTTTGACATAGGAACTTAATGGTAATAAAAGAAGAGAGTAGAAAGCAGTGAAAAAAAAAAAAAAAAAACCAACCCAATACACAGAGATAGCTGACAAGAGGTAGCTGACAACAAACAGTTGAATGATGGAACTCATGGTCAAAGAATGCTGGAGATGATAAAATTTTACATGATTTTAAAGGGAGACTGGACAAAACCATGGAAGAGAAATCCATTGAGAGGTAATAAACATACAGAAAATACTACCAGCTATATAAGTCCCAGGTCTGAAAACAGCCAGTGGTAGGACTCTCAAGTGTAATTAAGAAAGAGTGGACAGAGATATGTGACAGATGTGTTTGGAGAAACGAAAGACAGAAGACATGGGAATGTTATTAAGAAGAAGGGGATATTCTTAAGAGCAAAGCTGAAGGCACATTCTCAGGAGGCACCACTGAAGGGCTGCAGCCACAGGCAGTCAATGCCAGGGCAATGATAGTCCAGAGGGACTGCAGCCTGTTGGTCATTTATGCTAAAGCAAGGACATCCCTGTGGAACTGGCTGCAGTCTGCTGCTCCTGAAGCAGACTCAGGCACAGGATAAAAGTGAGCATCAAAAACTGGCAGACATAAACAGTGATATGCCAATCCCAACCTCTCCCATTGCCTGCTGCTTCACCAAAGAGTCTGGGGAGCACTGAATGTAACAAAGAAGAGGAAACCAGTAAGCAGAAGAAAGAAGTAGTTTTGTATTGTAGTTAAATCTGGGAAAGCAGGAAGAAAGGCCTGTTCATCTCA